CCTAAGGTTTCGGGCACGGGATTTTTCTGTTGTGGCCGCCATATTTGGGACCGAATTTCTGGCTTTGCTGCTCCACACAAACGTAACTAGAGGTGAAAGATGGCTAAAATTACTCTCCTTACTTTGGAAGAGAAAAAACATGACAAAGCCAACAAACAGGCTGTGATCCTTATAGTTTCACCTGAACTCCTGGTCCCACTTAAACTGGCGGAAAAGCTGCCAAACTTGTGTTTTCCTGACATCTATATTTATCATACTCAGCCCCTCTCCCTATTTTGGAGAGTCTCTCAAGGCATCTAAAAGCACAGAAGCCCACCGGCTCTTCACGTCAGGGTGGGTAAAGGATCTCATGGTGTTGCTTAAAGAAGAGAAAAAAAACTCTGTCATCATAGGAGGGTAACGACATCAGCTAATTAACACAGATGTGTACAATGCTGGCCTTTAGATAACTTTAGCTAACGTTAACAGCCGAGAGATAAACAGTCGTCCCCCTAACAGAGCTGCAGACAGCCGGTATAACTTCTGCATCTAAGTTTTACCTTAATTATACAGTGAAATACACTATAAGCTAACTTATAGGTACAAGTTATATACTTTTAGCCCACTTTTTAGTTTATGAAAGTATATTTTATAAAGTATAATTACAAGTGCAGGCCACAAGTTTATACATGTATATGTTTATACAAGTATAAGTTCAACTATACGCCAAATAAACTTTTCTGCCTATTTGTCAGTATAAGCCAAGTGTACTTCAGTAAAATTTTGTCTAATATATCTTTGATAAGTACATAACATGCGCGTGCGCGTCATAGCGAAAGGTTATAACGTTTTATAAATCTGTGATAGGAATGTATTCAATCAATTTGGCTAAAATCGTGGCATTTAAAAACAGCCAGTGTGACGTCACACGAAACGCAAGAATAAGGAGTGTTTCAGTCTGCTGCAGAGGTCATTTGCATAACTGTCTTAAAGGTGCAGTAACAAAAAAACAGCCTGTCTTAAGTGGACATCAGGGAAGAAAGTGAAAAATGTAGGATATGAGCCCTTTAATGACTATGTGATGCACTAGTGATAAACATGTCTTCAGAAATAAGGCACACAGACTGCGAGAGATCGAACAAATGAGTTTATTTTTGTAGAAAACATAACGTTCACAGATTCCCAAAATATCTTGTATCTTTTGATGTAGCACAGGCCTCACAATGAACTGCGAACTGCACGCTGGGAGATATGAATAGAGGCTTTCAGCTGCAGGTACATAATCAGATCAGACGATGTGAGGTTTAATAAGGCTCGCTAAGACGTGGTTTAATTGCAGTCTCACTAATCAGATCAGATAAAAAGAGATTTAATAAGGCTTGATAAGACATGGTTTGACTGGAGTCACAGTATAAAGTGAAAAAGTGAAGGCTTTGAAGGGAAATTCCAGTCTTTTTAAAACTTTCTGGATAATTCAGCTGTTGAGATGTAAACTAAATCATTCAGAGTGGTTTGAGGTGGGATGGCTCCTTGTAGAGAAACTTACCGACTCAGATTTCTTTACAGTGGTGGTGAATGGAACCAGGCGTTCACCATGTCTACTACACAAATATAGCCATTTTATTTACCTGCCTTTCTGTGAGGGAGCTTTCAGAGGTGGACGTCTGGTTCCTATCACCACCACTGAGAACTTTTCTGAGTCTGTAACTTTCTCTAGAACAGAGCATTTCACACCAAACCACATTATGGCCATTTAATAATGCAGAAATTTTGGAAATTTGGTGGAATTCCCCTTCAAGTATTGCCTTTGGCATTAAAATGGAACTGCTATGTCACTTCTATGCTGTTGAACCTTTGAGCGGAGTGTTAATGGTAGATGTTAAGGTTAAGGTCAGTGACGGATGAAAACTAGCTGAGGTCAGTGATGTAACTGTACATACGGGTCACACTGAAAGCTTTTTGCAGTGCAGTGGGAGTAAGAAAGGGGCAGAGGACACACTGTGAACCTTTGGCTTTAAATATCTACCGTTTATCTGTTTGTCTTAGTGTGAATGACCTCGGCGGTCACATCGTGTGCCGTCCTGGCATCAAAAAAAGGGTGGACAAGGGGCGTCAGTCGGAAAGTAGAGGAGTGAGTGGTCAGAGTGTCTCTGTGTCTCCGTTTTCAGGATAATTACAGTGCTGAGCTCTAGCTTTAACCTCACAGACAACAGAAGAGCACAGCACCGGTGCTAAACTGCAATTTCAGCCAGTTGGATGGGAGCATCCTGGCTATTATCCTGCCTCAGGACTCTGGAGGTACTTCACAAACCAGGAACTCTCAGCAAAGCTGGATAATATATGCCTAAAGTTAGGACTGTCCTCCTCCTTTTGACCTAAAGGGGTATTCCATGATTTTTCAGTACTCCTGTATAATTAAGTCATTAAAATGCCAACCAAGTCATTCAGAGTGGTTTGGTGTGAAATGCTCCAGACGTGCACCTCCAGACGGAACCAGACGTCCACCTCTAAAAGCTCCCTCACAGAACAGGGTGTTGCGAGGCAAAATAGTCCCTGAAGAAAACCTATTTTTCCAGATTCTCCACCATTTCACCATCAACAACATTCCATTTAAGCACTCGGAAGCACATAGGTTCACTGGTGGTTTTAGATAGTAAATAAAATGTCTATATTAGTGTTGTAGTCATGGCGACCCCTGGTTACATTCACCACCACTGTAAAGAAAACAGAGTCTCTATAATCAACCATTTCACACCAAACCATTCTGAATGACTCTGTTCAGATCTCAACCACTGAATTATTCAGAAATATTGCAAAAGCAGTGGAATTCCCATTTTAAGCATTTAAGCCCAAAAGTTCAGGAATGTCCAATAGGAACAGCTCTTCTCCTAGTGGATAGACTTGGTTTTAGGCTCATGCTGCATTCACAAACAATCCGGGTCTGGGAAGTTTCTGACCTCCAAGTGGAAAAAACGATTTGAATATCCATCCAACATGTAATTCACACTCAGAACGTCATTTCGATGGCAGCCCATGAAACCAGACGCTTTAAGCTTTTTAACCAGACTTTTGAGAGCCTGTTTGTGCATCATATGCTGTTTGTCTATGATATTGATAGATGAAGGGGGATTCTGCCTTCTCAAATCAATGAACTTCATGGATTTAACCACCTACTGTGTCTGTATGAGAAAATACTACTATAATCTCACTTAAAAGTAGAGCTACTTTATTACTGTTGGCGGTGTTGATATGAAATCTAATGTGAAAGCATCTTCCTGACTTTCCAAGTAGGAATTCCCAGTTGAGGAAGTGTTTTCTTTGGTTTTTCTTATTTGGAGGTCATAAATTCAGAGTATACGATGATAACTTGTATTTGTCTTTTCAAAACGGCGAACTTGAACTTTTTCAGTGTTATAAATTTAACCGATTACTGTGTCTCTATGTTGACTGATCTAAAGCAAATTCATTTAAAAGTAGCATTTTTTTTATTTATTTATTACTGCCAAAGTTGTGAGCAGCCATGCTGAGTTGAAAACACCATCCTGACTTTCCGAAAAAAGGAATTTCCAGGCGAGGGGGTGTTTTCTTTGATATTTTTCCTAGCCGGAATTGGGAAATTCAGAGTTACGAACTTTAGTTGAACAGCATTTCGTTTTCTGAGCATTAGGAAAGCACAGAAAGCCTGTTGACACTAAAATCACCTATAATGGAAGCCAATGGGCAGTTGACGAATATTGGAAAATAGTTGACTGCATATCACAAATTTGAAACTTTGAAACTTTTACAATACAGGAGTTACGATGAGACAGACTGACAGAAAGCTGTTCTTACCAGTTTTACAGCACTGGAGCATCACTAAAGAGTTCGGTTACTTTTGCTTTCCGTAAGATTTTAAAGGGAACAGCAGAGCCTGTGAAAGCTCCGCCCACATCACTACACTGGTAACAAATTAACAATTAACTGTTTCCTTTGGAAAACTAGTCCAATCTCTGAATCAACAAATTATACAGATTACAGCTCAATTTACAAATATACAAAAGTTTAGAATCACTTTTTATTTGACTATAACACTATGACGTGAGATGTTATAAGCCAACCAAAATGGTTTATTCACAAACTTATTTTGAGAATACAGAGATGTTATGACATGGCCAAAGAAAATAATTATCTATCTTATCTAATTGCAGCAATTTTCTGACATAAAATACCCATGAACAGCTATTTGATCAGCGAGAATTCACCAGTTTTCAAATTTGAGGTATTCTGCATAAAACTTATATTAGGTTTTTTTCTCAACGTAATCATCGAAAGCTCCATTTCATCTTTGATTTTTTTCTTTTCGCAGCTAACAAATAGTTTAAAACTAATTAACAATTAGCATCTGAACAAATTAGGTTTTATATTATTCAAATATTTATTGAGTGCGTTTACATGCACTCAATAATCCGATCATAATCGGGATTTCTGCAGTTATATACTCCTATCTAGAAATCCGATTAATAAATCTGATAAAGAGGCTGGATTTTAGCTCAGTAATCAGATTTCTCAGTGCATGTGAACTCTTACTCTGATTTCTTTCCATTTCTCAGTCTGCGCATGCGCAAAAACAGATGGTGGTAGCAGAAATAAGCAAGCAGTGTTGCTGCAAGACGCAGCAAAACACTTTTGGAGCGGCGCTGAAACCAAACATGAAATAAAGGATTTAAATATTCTTCATCTTCTAGATGATGTATGTTCATATTTTAAGGTAAAGTCCCGCATGTTGTCTAAAAAGCTGCTGCATGAAGTTTGAGTTCTTTGATGTTATTGGCTGGTTGCAAAGCAGAAATCTGTAGACCTGGAGTTTCCCTTTGTCTGATTACTCAAGTGCATGTAAACAACAACAAACGTTGATCGGATTGCTGACAAAATCTTGATTTTCTGCAGTTATCGGATTATTAAGTGCATGTAAACACACTATGTGTCTCCAAACTTAGGAGTGGTTTCGTACCTCTGACTGAAAAATTCATGAGACAAAAATACACGTTTCTCATCAATGTTTATTAAATTCAGCATCTGCCCATCGGCTTGTATTATAAGTGAGTTTGGAGTCATCAGCTTTTCTGTCTTTTTCTAAGAGACGGAAACTTGGAGTGATGATTGTCTGTGGTGATCGACCACATGCTACAGATATGTCGGACAGAGACGGGGCTGATGAACGCTGGAGTGTTGCTTTAAGGCCCTGTGGAGGATGGAGTGATGTAAAGAGGCTTTCCTCTCTGCACAAGCTGCTCTCGTGTGAAATGATAAAAGGCACTAAAGGTATCAACACAGTTCACAGGCATACTGACATTCATCTCAAATAAAAACAAAACAAGGCAGACGCGTCGGCTGCTGAAGGCGAACGCAGCGGATGGTGAGCCTTCGGTGGGGGAATCAGGAACGTCTCAAAGCTCTCAGTCCACAGAGTCGCACGCGAACGAGGGAGAGGAGGGGACGACGAAGGCGGGGTCAGTCCGACGGCAGCAGACCGCAGGGCCTTCGGAACTCCTGGCCTCTCTCGTGGATCCATTTATTTGAAACTGGAGCAGAAACACAAGAGAAAATTGACTTCACTCAAACTCAAATGACTTCATTCCACTGGCATTTAAAGCTGCATTGCACTACTTAAAACAGGCAAAAATGTCTAGAATTAAGTTTATTCTCATAATGTCCTTATAAACATTCCATGAATCTCACAAAGTGAGAAACTGTAGGTCCACTGAGCGGATTTAAGGGGTTTTCATTTGACAGAACATCATTTTTGGGGATGAAATGGTTTAAACAGTGCACCGCTGCTCAAAAAAAGAACTGCTCCCATGCGCCTCCGTCTCTCATGTTAAACAGCTGCTTTTAAAGGAGTGTTAAAAGGAGGAAAACTACAAAAAATAACTGGATATTGAGAGATGATGTGAGATACCACACTGCTTGTGGAGTGTTCTAAGTGGTTTGAGGTTTTAGTCTAAGCTTAGGCTTAATCTAGGTCTGCGAAACTGCTCCTGGATGGTCTGCATAAAGGATTAGCTCACCAACTATCTTGATTTTTAATCAACACTCATATTTTCTTCTATTACTGTTAAGCTTTATCAGCTGTCGGTAAAGCACTTTAAGCTGCCACTGACATGAAAAGTGCTCTTTAAATAAAGACATTATTATTATCATTATTATGCAACAGCAGCGAGATATATATATATAATTTGCAGTTATTGTGTATTGACTACGGAATTATACACATATATATTTATATCAGGAGAAAATGTCAGGTACAGGGGCACTAGCCTGATTTACTGACTTACCCCACTTGTTCCCCACCAGTACTGGACAGGCGGCGTGCCTCGTGCTGTAGTCCCCCTCTCCACTGGGGAACAGATTATACCAGAAAACTGCTGTGCCCTGCACAACACATACACCAGCAGTCAACACGAGCAGTGACCACCAGCATTACCAGTATTAAATCCTGCCACCCCTGCGTGACCCCATTCACCATAAAGATCACAACCATGCTGTACCTTCATTGGCTTTACTGCTGCTCCTACTTCAGGGAAGACTGTGGCGCCCCCTGTTGCCACATCGCTCATCTATAACACAGGAGGAACATATTACCCATACTGATACATTTATTTCACTTTTTATACAATTGTTTATACTTAAAAACTAAAAGCTGAGAAAAATCATTATTGATAAGACATTATTTTCTTAACCAGTGCATAAAACTTCAGTCTGGTCCAAACTGGCCACACTGAGCAGATTGCTGGTGTCCGAATACATTAGTTTTTTCTTACCCATGAGCAGCGAGATGTACAAATATGAGACTCTGTTACATTAAAGGTATCAGAGTACTCAGATCTGTACCATGAGCAAAAAAAGGACTGGGACATCTGTAGTAAAAAGACATTTTTTGGACAAGGAAGACACGCATACACAATTTCCCTGTTTTATAATGACTCACGTAGAAGAGCCAGGTGGCAATGCGGTTTCCCGTGCCCAGCTCTTTAAAGGCATCCGGCTCGTCTTTCTGTCAGAGGTCGTAAAAAAAAGAGATCAACACAGAGATCAGGAGAGAGATGAGCAAAGAGATCAACGCAGACATGTACACATATGAGCACAGAGATCAGCACATATATGAACACAGAGATCAGCACATATATGAACACAGAGATCAGTACAGATGAGTACAGAGATCAGCAGAGATATGAGCACAGAGATCAGCAGATATGAGTATTGAGATAAGCACAGAGATCAGCAGAGATATGAGTATAGTGATCAGCACAGAGATCAGCAGAGATATGAGTATAGTGATCAGCACAGAGATCAGCAGAGATATGAGTACGGACATCAGCACAGACATTGCCACAGAGATCAGCACAGAGATTGATATAGGTCAGTACAGTGTGCTTCATCTGCTATCAGTACTGCAAAGGTGAAGGGTTTACTTACCCGTCCAAAGTCAAAATGAGGTTCATACTGGCCTCCTACACCATAATTAGCTACCTGGAGATAGAAAGAGAGAGAGAGAGAGAGAGAGAGAGAGAAAGAAAGAGAGAGGTTGATTTACAGATGCAACTTGACAGCATTAGAGCTATTATCAAGTGTTTTCATTTTCAAATAATCTATGGAATATAAAGTAGCATTTCGCTTCATTATGCTTTTGAATGAAAATGGTCATCTGTCCAAATCTGGCAACACTGAGAAGGTTGCTGGTGATGTTTAAAAGCATTACTGTTTTTTTTAAACCATCATCTTACAATTTCGAAACAACGTTTTTGCTCAACTGTTGAGGAGAGCGAGTATGTCTCAGATTCTACATGATGAAGGATTTGAATCTTCTTAAATACTGTGTTCAACTGGTGAACACTCTAAATTCAGCAAGCTCTTGTTCTCTCATCTCAGTAACAAACGCAATACTAGGGTCTACTAGGATAGATTTACAGCCTTCAATGTTCCAAAAACACATTATTTTTCTCATACTGTACATCTCTATACACCCTCTGTTAGAGCTCCTGTGTCTTTAAGCCCCGCCTCCCGATAACCGCAGTGTGCTCTGATTGGCCAGCCTGCCCACTCTGTTCTGACTGGTCAACTGCCAGAGTGGCATCCTGCTATAAGTTCCACCCCTCCAGGAGTTGCTGTGCGCTGTGTGAGGGCATGCCAAGTTTGCCGGTAGGTGGGTAATAATGACTGTGTTACGAGATGACATCATCTTGTAACAAACAAAAAGGGCTGGAACTGCATTTCGTGCAGCTGAAAAAAGAAACTCCCTCTGCTGTTTACTTTGGGCTTTGTGACTTTGCAGACTGTTTACATACACAAAGAGCTGCACAACACACTAAAGTTAAGGGGAAAACTGGAAAAGCATAATAGGTCCCCTTTAAGACCAACACTGTCGACTCAAATCAGAATTTGAAAGCAGATACTTTGCACATTTTATCCACTTCTTGTTTCAAAGTACTGATCATTCAAATGCCTTTACCATTGTCACAAACTTATGTTGCTAAATTTGGCTAATTTTATTGAATATTCTTTGTGAGAAATGACTGCAGCTAGGGCTGGGCAATATGACAATATATACATATATAAATAAATTGTGATAAATGTCACAATACAATATGCTGTTCTGAACATAACGGATATCATCAGTACTTGTCAGCACTTGTTTCATTATAAAAAAGAGCAAAATTAGTCTCGTTTAACTGGATTTAGTGCGACACAGCATGTGAATTGAATAAAAATCCGTTTTTGCTAGTATATTTTAGAATGAAGCACTGCTGGTTCTTTTTTCTCTGTTCCAACTGATCAGATGTCTGAAAAAATAAATACGTGTATCATGAAAATTTCTTAAAAGTATCGCAGCCCTGATGAGCATCCGCTCCACTCTCTTCAGAGCCTCACCTGTAGCTCCTCTGCTGTGGTGACGTCGAGGCCTGTGATGTCCTGGATTCTCTGATTAATGCGGTCCACCACTGGATGCTCATAGGCTGCTAACCAAGCACTGTGAGCAGAAAACAACCACATGTTCTCTTAGATTTTCAGTGAAAACGCTCTAAAATGTAAACTGTGGTTAGCGTGTAGCTGGCAGACAGCAGACAGGGCTGCTCCTGGCTGGGAGTCGAGCGGTTAGTAGAAATGGTCACATGCAGTGGGTGGTCACTGAGAATAATGAATGATGACTTAAGGAATACACCCCGAAATGCTAATGTGGCTAAACATGAGTGAAAAGCTGATAGGGAATAGCTAGCTAGCATGATTCCATTAGCACCATACTAGTTTCCATTCACTGTTAGCTGTGTTAGCATGTCTCCCTCAACAGACTCTCCAGAGGTTTTTTGGGGAACAGAGTGAGAAATGATGCAGGTGGCTCTGATGATGAAATGAAAAAAAGCATTTATATATATATATATTAGAGGTAGTTCTACAGTTACAGACTGTAGTCCATCTGTTCCTCTGCATACTTTGTTAGCCCCCTTTTACCCTGTTCTTCAGTGGTCAGGACCCCCATGGACCCCCACAGAGCAGGTACTATTTGGGTGGTGGATCATTCTCAGCACTGCAGTAACACTGACGTGGTGGTGGTGTGTTAGTGTGTGTTGAGCTGGTCTGAGTAGATCAGACACAGCAGTGCTGCTGGAGTTTTTAAACACCTCAGTGTCACTGCTGGACTGAGAATAGTCCACCAACCAACCGACCACTGATGGAGGACCAGAGGATGACCAACACAAACTGTGCAGCTATCGTCTCTGACTTTACATCTACAAGGTGGACTGACAAGGTAGGAGTGTCTAATAGAGTGGACAGTGAGTGGACACAGTGTTTAAAAACTCCAGCAGCACTGCTGTGTCTGATCCACTCGTACCAGCACAACACACACTAACACACCACCACCACGTCAGTGTTACTGCAGTGCTGAGAATGATCCACCACCCAAATAGTACCTGCTCTGTGAGGGTCCATGGGGGTCCTGACCACTGAAGAACAGGGTAAAAGGGGGCTAACAAAGTATGCAGAGAAACAGATGGACTACAGTCTGTAAAAGTGCACCTATATAGTAAGTGGAGCTGATAAAATGGACAATGAGTGTAGAAACAAGGGGGTGGTCATAATGTTATGACCACACACATATATACACACACACACTTCTTAAAGGGCCCATATCATGTAAAACTGAATTTTCCTCACTTTTTAAAAGACAAAGACCTTGAATTTTGTTGTTTACATATTAAAAATTGTTCAAGTTTCAAACCTTACCATTCACTCAAGTCCATACAGACCATATGTGGAAACAGCTGGTTTTGAATTCAGTGTTTATATAATTAATAAATTGTTTATAAAAATAATAAATAAAATAAAATAAAACACAGATAAGGATATCAAAAAAACAGAATAGGATATAGGCCAAAAAATAAAAAATACACATTTAGACGATTTTCCTCTCAGCTCAAATGTGCTTCCCGACACTGTACAACATACTATTATACGTAAAAGAGGGCAGGAGTATAGTCAAACACCAAGTGCCTCTGTTTTAGCTATGCTAATGTACTTCTGTCCATGTTTATAGATAACAGTGTGTCAAACAGTGTCAGAAACCAGACAAGCCAGTCTAATCGAGAATACTGAACCACCCCACACAGTCTGAGGGGGCAAGTGAGTGATGATTTGGGCCTTTAGGCAGCACTAACTGGTGGAGTATTAGCTTTCATAGCTTCTTAGCTACAGCCCCAAACTAAGGAAGCAAACTTCAGACACCAAACATGTCTTGGCTGCTCAACTACATGCGTGTACATTTGATTCTTTGTTTAACTATCACTTTAAACGACGCTGCGCTTTCATTTGTTTGTGAATGAGGTCATTTCTGGAATGGCTGAACTGCAGCTGGCTGGCAGCTGTTTTTGGTTTGTTCCTTATTAGGACAGGGCGTTCACTGGACACTAAATGCACAGCTGTTGTCTGAACACAACAACGAAAAAATACCCACCAGCCTACAACGAAAACCACATCTACCACTTTACCCAACTGTACACAAGTATAAACAGCTCCTTTGAAATGAAAGCCAACAGCAGCCCAGACGTGTTTATGCAGACAGAGCCGGAAAGGATTACAAAGACCAGTGTCTGAGGCCAGGCAGTGATACAGCAGATACAGAGAGTGGACACTGGCCAGCATGAATGAATCATAACTCATTTTTCTTCCACATGGTGACGTCAGCTTCTTATTTGCATGTTTCGTTCCGCCTTAAATTTGAATAGTTCTGACGCTTGTACAGGCACCAACATGTTACTGATGCACTATTTAAGGTGGAACAGAAAGTTTGAATAAGCAGCAACTTCAGCCTTGAGGTTGAAATGAAGGGTATTAACAGGGAGTTTGTCCCGCTTTGCTGCAGTAACAGCCTCTTACACTAGATGTTGGAACATTGCTGTGAGGATTTGATTGAGCATTACTGAGGTCAGGTACTGATGTTGGATGGTCAGTTCTGGATCACTCCAGCTCATCCCAAAGGTACTGGATGGAGCTCCATCACTCCAGAGAACACAGTTCCACTGCTCCACAGCACAATGCTGGGGGGGCTTTATACCCCTCTAGTACACGCTTGGCACTGGACATGGTGACCTTAGGCTTATGTGCAGCTGCTCCAGAGCGGCCCGTTCTATTGGCAATGCTTTTCTATGGATTATATTAGTTTATACATGTGACCTTAGCCACTAGGGGGCATCCACACCATACAATTCAAAGCCAAGGAATGTCAAAAAAACCAGGTGGTCACTGAAAAACATAGGGCTTGTTTACACTCACAGTAGGTCACTCCTGAGCTCCAGAAACTTACAGTGGTGTCCTACATACAGTACAGAAATCAGAGACCACTCTTTTGTTCATCTCAGCCAAAATGGGCAAGTTATCCACTTTTCAGAGTCAGGAGAAAAAGCAGAAAACATGTTTGACATAAAACAACTTCAACAACTAAATGTAATACATATCTTTCAGTATTTCGTGTGTCCACCGTTTGCCTTTATTACAGCTTCCGTTCTTTTTTTTTTTCCTTTTCTTGCTTGCTTTAATTTTTTTTTTCAGAAAAATATGCAAGGATTTTTTTTACACCTCCAAAGTTCAGTCTTAGAAGTTGGTTTTGCATTTTCTGCTTCTCACGATTCAATGATGCTGAGTACTGGACCCTGGGAGTGGCTAGTTTATTGGGCCTCATTCACCAATATTTTCCAATATTCACCAGTTTTTTCTTAAGTTGTTCTTGAGAAAAGTCCTAAGAAAAAGTCTACGTCAGATTCATGACGTGTTCTTGAACCGCAGAACTGTTCACACCTTTGTGCTCTTGAGTGTGTGTAGATTCTGTTCTTACCTAAGAACAAATCCAAAAATCAGAAAACACTGGTGATAATGTCAGAATCTTCGTGAAAACTGCGTAAGCAGGTTTTAAGCACAAATGTCCTCTTAAGAACGTTGGTGAATGAAGCCCAACGTTCTTAGTGACTGATAAGTATGTCTTGATCTTCTCAGCAGTGTGTTTGGGGTCATCATCTTGCTGTTGATTGAATTTCTTCCATGTCATGTTTTCCACAGTGTAAAAAAGGATGTATTAAAGTCTGTAATAACCAACATTCATGATTGCTTTTAAAAACATTCCTCAACTTGTACTGATCCTCCAGCATGCTTGATTGATGCTTGTAGACGTGGTATGAAGAGTTGTTCATTTCTTCAGCGGGGTACATACTGACCATTCACTTCTAATGATCTTCAAATGAGTCTCATCAGTCGATAAAACATCACTCTGCGCTTTAGACGCCCAGTTTCAGTGTTTTAGTGCAGATGTTGCTCAGAGCGATGAGTTTTCTTCTCAACCATGTGGATGTTTTCAGATCTAAAGCAGCTTGATTTTCTCCTCTCTCTCAAAGATGAAAGCTTTCAGTGCTGTTTATCTGATGGGGGCAGTTTTGGTGTCTACCAGGTCTTCCAGGTGGTTGTTAGGAGGCCCATTTTCTCTGTAGCTTTTAGCCCCTTTTTTGAACTCCACTTCTGGAGTTTGATATTATACTTTATATTAGATTTCATTGTTGAGGTTTCTGTATAATTTTCTGTTAAATATGTTTTCCGCTTTTTGTTGACATAGTAAATGAATAACTCGTACTGTACAGTCGTTTTGACTTGGAGTAAATGGAATAAATGAGGGCTTTTTGCACAGCACAGTATTGCAAGTCAGGACTAAATGCCTTATTATCCTTTTTCTGCTGGGAAAGCTATGACAAAGACCACAATGAAAGTCATTGTCATCGACAGGCACATGAATAAAAATGAGGACCAAACCAGACACATGCATAGCCTTTGTCTGAGGAGATGGAAAACATGGCATGCCAGAGGATGTAATGGTTTAAAGAGGTCCGCTGATCGCCCTTCATGTGCGGATAGACCAGGAGTCGGCAACATGGGGCTCCGGAGCTGAATGCTGCCCTGTTGCGGCTCCACAGCAGAATTAGATTTTTAGGTAAAAATAAAATAATCCTCCTTTGTTCCAACACAGTTTTAACAATAAATGGTCTTAAATGCTTGAGGGATAGATAGACAAGAAACTGTTTTAGAAACGTTTCCTGCCGGAGACGTGAGAAAAGCGGCTGTAGCTGACCTAAAGTTTAAAGCAGAGCAAAGTAAGTCTGTGTTTTCATTTATATTAGATTTTTTAGCCTAAACTAGGACGCCAGCACATACTGAGACACGTTTACAGCCAAGATGGTAAAATTCACATAAAATGTTGTGGCTCCCAAGGTGGTTTGATTTTTGTTGAAAGGACAAAACGGCTCTTCTTAACATTTGGGTTGCCGACCCCTGGGACAGACAGAGAACAGAAGAGAAAGAATTTGAAGCCAGTTCTGCCATCTTTCAACCTCCAGACAGCTCAATACCTTTGTGTGACATTGTCTGGATGCAGGTAAAGTAAAGGTCTGACATAAAGAGACCTTTATAGGAGATTTGATCTATAACCTGACTATTAAAGGGCCCATAGCATGGAAAACCAAATTTTCTCTTTTTTTTTTTAAATAAAAGGGTTCAATATGAAAACACTTTCAAAACACATTCACTCTTCAGTCCATTTATGGAAACTAAGCTGCAAAAACAACTCATTTTCACTTTACTGTTTTTGTGATGTCACACAAACCAATGCAGAAATGTTAATGCACCCAGTCAAATTATGTATTGTTGATTTGAAACCTCCGCATCCTCTACGGGGAACAGTTTTATATGTGGAATTTTTCTGCACATTTTAGGGCACAATTTCTACCTCCTTACTTAGTTTAAAGAACAAAATATAAAAATGTGCCACAACTTTTGCATAAGCTACATTTTATGTTTTAAATTTTTCCCAGTATGTTAAATTCAGCAAATAAACAGTAGTTGTGCGTTAAAACATGTAGTGTGTTCTCTGTAGAGGAACTTATTTTCGCTTAGAAAATTAACAAAGTTTCAAATTTGACCAAGGGCGCACAAACTTTTGCATACATCTATATGTCTACCTATTCAGTCTACAGCAGTTTAGCCCCGCCTATTCAAACTGACGTTTTTCAGCCCGGACTGCTTACTGAATGACGCACGATACAGCACAGCCAATCAGAACAGAGCTCATTTACATATGTAAGTCTTAAAGGCACACAGCCTGTTTAAAGAGAGGTTGGAAATGAATGTAAACACTGTTTTTGATATATAACACCACACTAAAGTGGCCTTGAAGAAAAATGTAGGATATGGGCCCTTTAAAAGGTATTTTAGAGTAAACACAGCAGCGACTGAGTAAACAGAGCCAAGACGGACGCACGCCTGACCTTAAAGTCTTCACCTGACCTTAGCCCCTTACCTCTTGGAGACTCTGTACTGGGCTGTGGTGAGTTTCCCTGTTTGGGGGTCATGCACGGTGGCTCGCCTGAGCTAAAGGGGAGGCACAGATTAGAGGAGGGAGAGAGAAAGAGAGCAAAAGAAGGATACAGGGAGGAAGACAGCAAATAAAGAAAGACAGAAAGAAGGGAAGAAAGAGTATGTCACTGCTTGCTGTTTCCATTATTGAAGGGGACTTTCACTGATTTTTCAAAATTTCTGCCTAATTAAATGGTTAATTAAATGTAATTAAAATGTCAACAAATTAATTAAATGTAAACAAAGTCATTCAGAGTGGCCTGGTGTTAAACGCTCCGTTCTACACTGCAAAAAATAGTATCTTGTCAAGTTCAATTCTTAATTCTAGTCAATATATCTAATATTGCTTATTTTGACATAGTTGTGCACTGATTATAGGAGTATTTAACTTATTATTCAGCTTATTATTTAGTTCTAGACATTTTATTAAGCAAAAATGATCTCACTATACTGGCAGATAATTTTGCTGGTTTCAAGCACATTTCATAAAACACGCAAAATGATTTTACTAAATAAAATTACTTAAAACAAGTAAAAAAAAACGTTTGGAAATAAGTTAAATAATCTTAAAATAAGCTTACAACAATCTCAACAGAAGAAATATTGGATACATCGACTACATTTAAGATAATTTCACATGACAACATACTATTTTTTGCAGTGTAGAGAAACTTGCAGTCAGAATTGTTCACAGTGGTGGTGATAGGAACCAGACGTCCACCTCTAAAAGCTCCCTCACAGCAAGTTACTAAATGAAATGGTTTACAAAGATTTTGACCTAAAACCTTTGCAAAACCTAATACTTTTTAAGTTATAAAAGTTTTTTTAGGTTTATTACTACTTTACCATCATCAATGTAAACCTTGAAGAAACGTGTAGGTTCACTGGTGGTGTTGGATGGTCAATAAATGACCCCTGGTTTTATCACCACCACTGTAAACATATCTGACCACTCAGTCTCCTCTGAATGACTCACGTCTGAATGGCTGAATTATGCTGAAATTTTGAGAAATTGGAAGTTTCCCACGTTTCCCTACACCAAATCGCGCTGGCTCGTCAAAATTACAGCATATTGAAGGTTCATAACGTGGTGAGCTCCTGCTTGATTTCCACCGTTACCCCAGTAAGATCTACAGTTATGATGAGTAAAGGTCTCCTGCTGTGTTAACCGCGTCTCCCCTGGGTTAGAAAAGCTGTAGCAGCAACCTCACCATGATCAGCTACACCAAGAGGAACAACATGCTCACTCCCTTCAAATACACATCCGTATCTCTTTGTAATTGAGCCGCTGTGATGATTACTGAATATGAACAAGTTACATTTTGCAGCTGTCTGAACCTCCACTTTGGTTGAGTAACACATTATAGGGACTGTTTGACCACAAATGCAAACCTGGCTAACAGTAAATGAAGCTCAGCAGTGGCGGTTAGCATTGGATTATAATGACGGGCATAAGTAGCTTTAATATGTTCATTTTTTATTGTTAGTGTGAGGATTATATCAATTTCCTGAGCAAGTTTATTTATTTACAGTTTTATAAGGTAAACAGATACTGGCACATATTCATCAACAGCTTACTAGCTAGCACAGCTAGCTTTCATAGCTAGTTCATTCTTTGCTAACATGAGATTATCAGTTAGCTTTCATGCATTGTTGGAACAAAATGATAACAAAAAAATCACGACTGTTTTTATGAATTAATTTTTTATCAAAAGAAGCAGCACATATTTCCTTTTTTCCATTCTTTTTAGTCCTTGTTAGCATGGCATTCTAACTGACAGCTTGTTTTTTATATTATTTCTTTACTTCATTTTATTTCGAATCATTATGACAGTTAATTTTCAGTATTTTCATTCAAAGATCAGGATCAATGTCAGAGCTGGTCTCTATTTCTGTTTAGTTATTAGACGTAAGAGCACTGTATTCCGTACAGTATTTCGGCATTTTTCGCATTTTAGTAGTTATTGCGGAAATACCCAAAGTCATACACGATTTAATGACTGGTTGGACTCCGCAAAATCTGCCTAGCAACCAATATGCACTTTGATTGGTCACATTTGGGCCAATACTTTTAAAGTAATAAGAAAAAAACGTCATCTGTGTCCGCGGTTTGTGCCGCCAATACTCCGTACACCAGCTTCCACAGTAGGCGCGGTTTTCCGTACAGTGTTTCCCTGCATTTTATTTGAGGTTTTATGAAATCTAATTGCATAAAAATTGACATTACCTGATTATACTGATTATAAAAGTGAATTATTATAAACAATATGTGCAGTGAATGAGGCTACCATGGAAAGAAGCCCAGTAAAGTGAGGCAGCGCTGTGAAGCTGCGCAGCTGAAAGGAGTCTGCTAAGGTTACTTAGCTGACGGTGTAAACTTAGATTAACAGCTCAGTACTAAACATACTGTGTTTCATGGTGATAATCCATTGTTAAATATCTGTTTAAGTGTTAAACATTTTAACTGGCCGTGAAAGTTTTCCCCACCCCATTCACATTCGCATCCCTGGGTTTCCCCACCCGCCATGTTCGTGTAATGCTGGGGGGTCGGTCACTATTTGCATAGATTTGATGTCCAAACCCAGCTTAGATGGTCTTTCCAACCGATTTGATGGAAAAAGGGATATATGATGATGTCTCAGATGTATCTTTGACAAATGTTAAGAAAGTGTTTTTTATTACACAGACAGAAATATTTGCAAGTGTACGGAATACTGTGCTCTTACGTTAGATAACTAGCTAGCATGGCTAGTTTTTGTCTTTCACTCATGATAATTAGCACAGCTAGGTTTTTTTTATTTGACGTGATAACAAAGCAAATAACTGAGCAAATTCTGTTCCTCACTGTTAGCATGACGCTGCCTTCAAGTTGTGTCGGAAATATCGTATTTACGAGATGGAGGCACATGAACGGCACCACAACGTCGTATTTACTAGTGGGAACTCAGATTTTTCAATGAGCCCTGAGTTTCTGAGTTGGGGGCGTTAACAAAAAAAAAAACAATAGACCACTGTAGTCGTGCGTCATTCTGTAGTCCTCGTTATGCCCATATTAGGAACTCCGGGTCTGAGCTCCATTTCTCTATGGCCAGAATGAATAGGGTTTTAGAAAAACGCCTCTATCGCCCCCTGTGTTAATTAAAATGCTCTGAACCTGATACGTTTTGTCCTGTGTACATGTTTCTCCCACATACCACTGGATCCTCTGAATTACGAGGCCGATAAAGAGCTATAATACTAATATTGCTACATGCGAGCTAAAGCTAGTGCGCATCAATTTGATGTCACTAAGCTACACTAATCTAAGGCGGGCTGTGGCGGTGCTCTGACGAGCTGAGCTGCCTTATTGAAATGTTCTACTGTCGCATTTTTACAGGTTTACCCGTAAATAAAACCTCTGGGTGAGATATTTTGATAAAGGCTAAAACTCCTTATCAAAAACCCGTGTTAAAACTACGAGGCTGAATTTAGCTTCTTTTTTCGCAGCTTCTTGTTTGAATGTTCCCGTTCCACCTTAAATGGTGCAGCAGCTGTGACTAGCTATCACAAACATTAGCAAACGAGACAAAATACTGACCTGTCGGTTCTGTGAAACAGCAAAAATAAGTTAATGTTACTCAGCTGTTCAGCGGAAATAGAGAAACCTCCTCATATCAGGCCTTTCAATCCTCCATGAAGCTGAAGTCAGCTGCTTTTTCTCCGGCAGATTGTTCGAATTTCCCCGTTCCACCTTAAATGGCGCAGCAGTTTAGAACGTGACTGCTGCTCCACTTAAGGTGGAACGGGAAAGGTCGAACAAAAAGTTGGTGAATGTTCTGAGAAAATGTCCTCAGAAAAATATTACCAGGTTCAAAATAATAATTAGGATATTCTGATCGCCGAAATCAGTTTATCAGGGGGTGATAACCTGATTAAGGAGGCCGTCAGTCTAATGACGTGAACTCAGTGCGCAGTAGCTTTAGCTCACATGCAGCAATATTCATATTTCAACTCTTTAACGAGCTCGTAATTCACAGGATCCAGTGGTATTCGAGAGAAGAATGTTCACAGGACAAACCGTATCGGGTTCTGAACATTTTTATTTAGCACAGAGGCGATTTTTCTAAAACCCTATTCATTCGGTCCATAGAGAAACGGAGCTCAGACCCGGAATTCCTAATATGGGCATAAGAACATGGCGCCGACTACAGAATGACGACACGACTACAGTGGTCTATGATAGCCGCTGATAAACTGGCCGTATTTTAGTTAACGTTATTCATCAGCCACAACATCAACACTGCAGGCTGAAACCATCCACACGTGGAAATAAAGATGTACTGTATATTCACAAACTTATTTCCACTCTTTTCCAACCAAAACCACTTGAACACAACCTCCGAAGTCGTAAGCAGGAACTTCCGAGGGGGACTTGAAGGCAGCATGATTTGATGATAACTGGTACAGCAACTTTAACTGGTTGTTACCATGACATTATGCTAACCAGCACAGCTCAATCATAATTTCCTGTTAGCCACACTTGCTTTTTGCTCAAACTTTCCCTCTTGTTTTAGCTACCTAACAGGAGTGTGCGATATCCCCTTTGCTGTCTCTGTTCTTGCTGAAGTTGCGGTGCTACGACGTGGCGGGGAGGCGAGGCCGATGGCCTTTAAGCCTGCAGGCTTCTTACCTTTTGCTGATGCGATAGTGGGCAGTTTCCAGCACACCAGTGACGGGGTTGGAGATGGTGGCTCGGCGCAGCTGTGGAGCCAACCGGCCGAGAGGACATGAGTTACACACTGCACTCACACCATCCCACCCCGCTCACCGTGTGCAGGGGGCTCAGGGATTCACTGGGTTCCCATTAACCACAAATTCCCAAGAGTGTTCTCTCAAAAGCGCTAACAGTATTAGGAGGAGTTCAAGACTAGTGTGGAGTAGCCAGCTAGCGTGGGCTACTACTCACATGCTAGCATGGTGGTGACTACATAACTGCACTGTTTCAGTCTGTAAGTCATCTGAAGTTGTATCATCATCATAAGCCCTATTGGAGCTGGATTAGTTTTACCAGAGGAGGTCCAGTTTCCCCAAATACCTAAAAAGTCTGGACTGAAACACCATCGTGGGCATGGTTACCTCAGCACTACACGACATGTGCCACAACATGTGGTGCGGCTAAATGGCTAATATGGCGCCAAAAAAACACCAAGACGTGAGGCTGGATGAGGGAGAACGCCCGATACAACTCGAAATGATGGTGGATAATCATAGTGTATGAAATGGAATATACACTGCATTATTGTGGATTTTAGTAGTCATCTCATGAACTTGAGAAGTAAGGAACTGGGCCAAATCAAGCTCCATTAGATGTTAGCCTTGTCTTCAGGTTGCAAAATAAGAACAAAATAGAGGTGCCATTCTCTGTTACTTGGTTTTGTTATTTCATTCCTGTGATGTGGATATAAACGGGACTAATATTACTGAGGGAGCTCTGGGTTGAGCAAAGTTATAAACCCTACTTGGACGGGATTAGTTTTCCATGAGTAGGTGGTTAGTGTAATGACACACTCGCATTCACTTCAGACAGCAAGGCAAATGGTAAAGGCAGGGTCGGCAACACGTGGCTGTGGAGCCGCACGCGGCTCTTTTACTGCCCTGCTGCAGCTCCACAGCAGAATTAGATTTTTTTTGGTAAAAATAAAATGATCCCAGTAAAATAAAGCTCTGCTGATCGTTCTAACACAGTTTTAACAATAAATGGTCTTAAACTCTGGAGTTAATGTGGAACTGCTAATTCACTCTTTAACCCTGATGGTTGGCACACAGACTGCTGGTCACTATAGCAACACAGACAACAATCTTGCCTAGCGAGTAGCTAACGAAAAGGCAAAGAGAAAGATTTAAGACGAACATTGATAATTTGGAGACGAACTGACTTATTTGCGTTTATAATCACTCCAACTGATTTCCTGATACGTTTAATCTGCAGTGAGAAACTGTCAAACACTAAAAAGTTGGAAAGCTGAAGTCATTCGCCAGCTTCTTGTTCGGATTTTCCCGTTCCACCTTAAATGGTGCAACAGTTACATTCTGGCCCCTTAGGCAGCATTTAAGGTGGGACGGGACAATTCGAACAAAAAGCTGGTGAACGAGAAGCGACTTCAGCCTCGTAAAAAGTCGAACATTAAGAGACGTTTTACAAGAAACTATTCTACTTTTGTTTTAAAGTTTCCTGCCAGAGATGAGATAGCTGAGCTAAAGCTTAAAGCAGAGCAAAGTAAGTCTGCGTTTTGCAGTATTATATTTTTTATCCTATATTAGTACATCAGCACATACTGAGACATATTTACAGCCAAGATGGTAAAATGGACATAAAATGTTGTGGCTCTGAAGGTGGTTTGATTTTTGTTGAAAGGACAAAATGGCTCTTCTTAACATTTGAGTTGCCGACCCCTGGGTTAAGGTAACAAAATAACAGCTAGATTAAATATTTCAACTTATTTTCTACTCTTTTTGGAGTGAAGGTTGTGTGTAAATATCTGTCACGTATGTACTGTGATTTTGTATCCTGTGTGAATGGGTCATAAACATTACAGACGTTTTGTGGTGAACTGGCGTTACCCACCTCTCCATGGACACGAATCCCGTCTGAACAGGGCTATAGACGGTAATTTACTCAAAATTATTATTTAGCAAACTTGTAAAAACTACAGAAATTGCAGATTCGTACTGGATTACAATCACGGCTCTCGTCAGTAATCACTCAAATTACAGCACCTCCCCAGGCAACACTAATCCAGCTCCAATATGCCCAAAGTCGAGTATTTTATCTAGTACAGTTTGTCATCTCTCAGTTCTGTGGTTCCCTATTTTATCAAAACGTCTCGGCTCATTAAGATTACGGAGTTGAATCCGTAACAAAATAAACAAAATAAGCAGGATATCTGGCTTCTGATCTACTACAGAAACCAGCACTGAGTTTACTTCAACACAAATAATTCCAGACAGCAGCAAATGATGCATGATGTGCCTCATAATAACGTGCAGAGGCAGCAGGTCTGCTGCTGAACTCACCCTGGGCTTGGCCAGTTCCTTCACCTTCTCCATCTCTGTCTCGCTGATGATGTTGTGGTAACGGACGATGCGTGGCCGGTCCCATTCGTCCTCCTGTTTCACCGGGCCAAGCAGGTAGTACGGGTGTCTGCTGTTGTCGAAGAAACGACAGAAGAGCCGGCTCTGTCTGCGCGGGGTCTGTGTGGTTCAGACGGACAATGGGATTCAGAACTACAGGCCAATACAGTAAGTTCAACAACATCTGTAGACCCATCAGCTGGTTTCAGTCAACGGCTACTCCAAACAGTGATTATGACTGACATTCACATTAATCTCTACAGTAATGTACCCGTAATGCTTCAGGACAGGGGGCAGTATAGACGACTCAGACATAACATTATGACCACCTCCTTGTTTCTACACTCATTGTCCATTTTATCAGCTCCACTTACTATATAGGTGCACTTTGTAGTTCTACAGTTACAGACTGTAGTCCATCTGTTTCTCTGCATACTTTGTTAGCCCCCTTTTACCCTGTTCTTCAGTGGTCAGGACCCCCATGGACCCTCACAGAGCAGGTACTATTTGGGTGGTGGATCATTCTCAGCACTGCAGTAACACTGACGTGGTGGTGGTGTGTTAGTGTGTGTTGTGCTGGTCTGAGTGGATCAGACACAGCAGTGCTGCTGGAGTTTTTAAACACTGGGTCCACTCACTGTCCACTCTATTAGACACTCCTACCTTGTCAGTCCACCTTGTAGATGTAAAGTCAGAGACGATAGCTCATCTGCTGCTGCACAGTTTGTGTTGGTCATCCTCGAGTCCTTCATCAGTGGTCACAGGACGCTGCCCACAGGACGCTGTTGGCTGGATATTTTTGGTTGGTGGACTATTCTCAGTCCAGCAATGACACTGAGGTGTTTTACTGCTGTGTCTGATCCACTCAGACCAGCGCAACACACCACCCAAATAGTACCTGCTCTGTGAGGGTCCATGGGGGTGCTGACCACTGAAGAACAGGGTAAAAGGGGGCTAACAAAGTATGCAGAGAAACAGATGGACTAAATAATTGCCCCCCTCTTTGAAGGCATATGATGCCCTAAATGTAACTAAAGCCCAGCAGTGAGGAGCTGAACTTTACCCTCCTCTGCTATCACTGCAGACTGGCAGGGTCGCCTACAGAGCAGCGCCAGTAGCTGTTAATGAAGTAATGTTCTTTTTTATTTGAGGGTCCCATTTCGTAGAGGTTTCAACCACTACACCTGTAACTCAGTTCCAAGGGCCAAGATGACACTCGAAAACAAGGGGTAGGAGTCAAAATAAGAAATGGGACTGGGCCTTAAGTTCACCAGTAAAGGCTACAAAAACTACTTCACACGCCACTGTGGTCATCTGTATATTTAGTGTAAGACCAGGACAGTGACTACGTGAGTCTAGTTACCTGGAATTCAAGGCTACCATCAGATATGATGTTCCAGACAGACGCTAGTTATAACACATCACCTTAGCTATTCAAATTACGCAATAGGTAATTGGACACCACATGAAGACAGAATGAAAGAGGACTGCTGATATTCAAAAGCTGGGCCTAGTGAGTTCAGCCTAACAGATTCAGACACAACGTCCGGGTTTCTGGGTCGTTCAGGTCAGAGTCTTTGAATTTTTCCTGCTTTGGTGTGATTATGAACCACAAAGCAGGGTTATGCACACACTCACAAACACAGGAGCTGCCACCCAGTGAATAAACATAATGAGCTATGTCCACACCCGTCAGCGGAGCAGCAGAGCGGGCAGTGCCAAGGCATCTGAGTCTCTGTGCCAACTCAACACTCAGCAATAACAAGGCCACATTCACAATGCAGGCCTGACTGCTCGGAACACGCTGCACTGAAAAGACTGTAAAATCAACATCGTCACTTCTTACCAACAACTAAAACGTCACCAAACGAGAAAAGTGATTGTGCAGCTTAAGCAGTTGCTATGGTATCCCTGGCGGTTGCAAGCAGGTTGTAAGGGGGTTGCTAGGTGGTTGGTAGGACAGCTGAGTTCTCCCTAGGTGTTTGCAACTATGGCTGTTACACATGGCTGTTAGGGTGTTGTTAAGAACTTCCTATGTTATACTTCGTAGTTGCTAAGGTGTTGCTAACCCATTGCTATGGTATCTGTCGTGGTTGCTAGGTAGTTGGTAAGGCTTCGAGAGTGAGTGCTAAGGTGTTGCAATGGTATGCCATGCAATGGTGGTTCGTATAGCATTCCAGGTGGTTGCCAAGCAGTTCTTATGTTATCCCGGATGGTTGCTAGGGTGTTGCTAGCAGACTGTTATGGTCTCTCTGGTGGTTGCTAGCAGATTGCTATGGTGTTCCAATGGTTGCTATGGTGTTACTAAGCACTTCCTATGTTATCCCAGGTAGTTACTAAGGTGTTGCTAACCCATTGCTATGGTATCTCTTGTGGTTGCTAGGTAGTTGGTAAGGCTTCGAGAGAGAGTGCTAAGGTGTTGCAATGGTATGCCATGCAATGGTGGTTGGTATAACATTCCAGGTGGTTGCCAAGCAGTTCTTATGTTATCCCGGGTGGTTGCTAGGGTGTTGCTAGCTTCTGCTCTGGTCTCTCTGGTGGTTGCTAGGGTGTGGCTAGCTTCTGCTGTAGTATCTCTGGTGGCTGCTAGCAGATTGCTATGGTGTTCCAAGTGGTTGCTATGGCGTTACCAAGCACTTCCTATGTTATCCCGGGTAGTTGCTAAGGTGTTGCTAACCCATTGCTATGATATCTCTCGTGCTTGCTAGGTAGTTGGTAAGGCTTCGAGAGAGAGTGCTAAGGTGTTGCAATGGTATGCCCGGGGGTTGGTATAGCATTCCATGTGGTTGCCAAGCAGTTCTTATGTTGTCCCAGGTGTTTGCTAGGGTGTTGCTAGCTTCTGCTCTGGTCTCTCTGGTGGTTGCTAGGTGGTTGCTAGCTTCTGCTATAGTATTTCTGGTGGTTGCTAGCAGATTGCTATGGTGTTCCAAGTGGTTGCTATGGTGTTACTAAGCACTTCCTATGTCATCCCAGGTAGTTGCTAAGGTGTTGCTAAGGTGTTGCTAACCCATTGCTATGGTATCTCTCATGGTTGCTAGGTAGTTGGTAAGGCTTCGAGAGTGAGTGCTAAGGTGTTGCAATGGTATGCCATGCAATGGTGGTTGGTATAGCATTGCAGGTGGTTGCCAAGCAGTTCTTATGTTTTCCCGGGTGGTTGCTAGGGTGTTGCTAGCTTCTGCTATAGTATCTCTGGTGGTTGCTAGCAGATTGCTATGGCGTTCCAAGTGGTTGCTATGGTGTTACTAAGCAGTTCCTGTGTTATCCCAGGTAGTTACTAAGGTGCTGCTAACTGTAGCTGTAGTATCTCAAGTGGTTACTAGGGTGTGTCAGCTGTTCATGATTAGGAGAAAAATCCACCAGTGAACCTAAACGTGTCTTCTTACTTTTTATATGTAATGTAGATGATGGTTCTCACCAGTCTGATTCCCTCTCCCCTGCAAAGCTTCTCGTACTTCCTCTTCTCTGGAAGGTAATTATTCTTTTTGTCCGTCTCTCTCTTCTCTCTCTCCTTTTTCTCCTCCGTTACTTTCTGCTCACTCTCTACTTTCCTCTGCTTGGCCAGCTGGTACTCAAAGTACTTCAGGTTGCCGTTGGCTCTCTGATGATCTGGATCTGTGCAGTATGAATCAGAAATGTACATAAATTAGTGTTGAAATGCAACAGCTGTGCAACAAAATCTGCTAATTTCCTCAAAGGCTGCAAAACACAGGCCAAGTTCTGACAAACAAACCACTGAGCGTTAGCATTACCCAAATAACAGCAGGCGCCACTTGGTTTCACTATTTTTACGTATTTTTTGATTAAATAAAAGTTTGTAAATGTAAAAACAAACGTTAAAGCCCTTGTATAGAATCTAAGCTGCAAACACAGCCTGTATATAACATCGTTTACATTATTAACAGGAAAAAAAAGCAGATTAGCCCCACCCATCAATGCTGAAGTTGTAAGGAGTGTGAATTATAAACCCATACAAATGTCATAAATGGACATCGGAGGAAAATATAACAAGAAAAATGTAGGGTCGGCCCTTTTATTGTCTAGAACTTACCCAGAGTCAGCAGTCTCTTGGTGTGCTCCAGTGCTCTCTCCAGTTCACCCTGCTGGTAGATGGAGTAGCTGAGGTAGTCCAGTACGGTCACTGTGTCAATGCTGGACTCCTCTCCTTCATCCAGCTGTCTGAGAGCCTGCGCCATCCACAGCTCTGTGTGGTAGTAATCTGTTTCTGAGTACGCGATCTTCCCCAGCTCGAAACAGTCCTCCACTGTTAGAGTGCTCTTATAGGGCAGATCTGAGGATGTGCCTGAAAGAGCACACACACTCTTACTGCACAACCCTTCCTGATTAAACAGCCCTAGTTAGAAGTGTTACAGTTATCTGGCTATTTTAATATACCTTGCAATAAACAATCCACTTTATTAGAAACACCAGCCTTCTACTTCTACTCCTTGCAATCCTCAATTAATTGTCACTTTTCAAATTAAAATGAAAACTAGACCACTAGTCCAGAGGTCGGCAACCCAAATGTTAAGAAGAGCCATTTTGTCCTTTCAATAAAAATCAAACCACCTTCAGAGCCACAACATTTTATGTCTATTTTACCGTATTGGCTGTAAATATGTGTCAGTATGTGCTGATGTTCTAGCATAGGCTAAAAATATAATAAAAAACAAAAACGCAGACTCACTTTGCTCTGCATTAAGCTTCAGCTCAGCTACAGCCACTTTTCTCGCATCTCCAGCAGGAAACTTTTCCAAAAAGTACAACAGTTTCTTGTAAAACGTCTCTCAACGTTTGACTTTTTACGAGGCTGAAGTCGCTTCTCGTTCTCCAGCTTTGTGTTCGAATTTTCCTGTTCCACCTTAAATGTAACTGCTCCACCATTTAAGGTGGAATGGGAGAATTTGAACAAGAAGGTAGGAACAAGAAGCGACTTCAGCGTCGTGACTTTTTAGTGTTTGACAGTTTCTTGCTGCAGGTTAAACGTATCAGGAAACCAGCTGGAGTGATTATAAACGCAAATGAGTCCATTCATCGCCAAACTATCGATGTCCGTCTTAAATCTTCCTGTTTGTCTTTTTGTTAGCTACTAGCTAGGCAAGATTGTCTGGGTTGCTATGGTGACCAGCAGTCTGCGTGCCAGCCTTCAGGTTTAAAGGATGAATTAGCAGTTAAGCTAATTCTGCTGTGGAGCCGCAACAGGTCAGTAAAAGAGCCACATGCTGCCGACCCCTGGTCTAGCCCGTTTACGTCTGAAGTAGTATGTTTTGTTTTCGTGGCAGTGGACTTAAAGGAACAACTGTTTTTTGGGGTCAGTCTTTTCTTAACACGGACACTAGACTGATGAGGTCCGGCTGAGGAGCCGCCCGACTTGGTCAGCTGCATCAATGACGCCACAGTCTCTGGCCGGGTAGCAGCTGGTCCTGAAGTGTGAATGACTGTAACATGTTCCAAATCCCAGTGGCGTTCTTGTTCCCCTTATTCACTGTTCCACCTTAAATGGTGCAGCAGTTACACACAAGTGTCTGTACAGGTACAACTGCTGCTCCATTTAAGGAAACTAAAAACAACAAAAAAAGCTGCCAAATGTTTATTTATGTATTGTTCAGTTTTTTTTTTTTACTTTTTTGCACAATAAAAGTTTTTCAGATTTACTTTGCTTGTTAAAAATCGCTCCTACTAAAAAGTGAAGACTTCCCAGGATAATAATGTTAACCTACAAAAACAGGTTTACTTCAGCAAACAAAATGAAATAAAATGATTTGAAAATATACAGCACTGTGCAAAGTGTTATATATCTAAGCATATTATTTAAAACAAATTATACTGGCAATAAGTGTCTTGGGCTTGTAGAAAACCTTGTATCTCCAAAACGGTAATTTTATAGGAACAGGAAAAAACCTACTTTACTTTTAATGTAAGTCAATGGAACCAGACTTTTCTCCAAGTCATTTTGGGCTGTTTCTCTTAGTCCATTCATCATGAAATTTACAAACAATGTAAAGGGCAACAGGCATTTTCAAATTCTGTACAAAACTGAAAAATGACAAAAATGGAGATATGAAGTTTTCTTCCGACAACAGTGATATATTATTAGAATTAAAAACTTAAATCCAGTAAAAATAACAAGAATAATTTCTTATTTTCAATAAAGTGGCTGACATCTTGTGAGCTAGTGTTTGTGAACAAAGTTTAGTTCCAGTTGTCTCCTGGATGCGTCCAGCCATTGCACAGTTTTGTTAAATTACACCTGATTTAATTTAATGAAGTGTTGATTAGCCAAATCAGGTACTGAATGATAATTGTAAAAATACTGGGTTCATTAAGGGCAGGTTTGGAAATGGTTAAGCGAAAACTTGGACATACTAAAAAATCACTGCGTATTGTATTGATATTATTTGTATTTACTCTACACTCCACAAAGATGGTGCTTCAAGGGTTCTTTAGTAAAGAAAATGGTTCTATATAGAGCTATGAACACTCAAACAACCCTTTGCATGATCAAAGGGTTCTTTGCATCAGGACTGGGTTCTTCGGATTGATGGAAAATGTTCATGAATGTGCTATAGACAGTTCTACATAGAACCCTTTTGAAAACGATTCTATTTATCACCCAAAAGGGTTCTTCTAATGTTACAAGCTTGACAATATAACAATAGAAGAACGCTTTTGGGTGATATATGGAACCATTTTTTAAAAAGGTTCTTCCTTTCATGATGCAAAGAACCCCTCAATTGTGCAAAGGGTTCTTTGAGTGTTTATGGCGAGAAGATAAATGCTTACTGTCTAGATAAACAGCTTTTTATGTCCAGTACTGTATGTACCAGACTTACCAGGCAGGTCGCCAGTGGAGATGGTATGTGTGTCCAGGTTGTAGGTGTCCTGCAGCCTGAGCAGCGCCTTGGCTGCTCCTGTCTGGTCCTCATCGTTGGGGAAGTGCTGCCGCTGGATGGTCAGGTTGGAGATGAAACCTGAGTAAAGTTTAACAGTCACTTATTCACAGAGTTTCCTGGACACAGATTACGACAGAGCATCTAACGCAGAGCTCCAGAAGGTCACTTATAGTTCAGGTTAGTCTAAACTTTAAACTTATCTGTCAAGACCTTGGGAAGATCTGCAGCACTGACCGTCAGACATGTCTCTGAGCACCAGGTCCTCCACCTCGCCCCACTCTGTGTTCAGCCTCTTCATCAGTTTGAAGGCGTTGACCGGGTGACCAAGGAAACCCTCTGGGTCCTGCGTCGCCGTGGCCGTTAAAGCGTCCAGTTTCTCGGCCCACCTGAGGACCACACACAAGAGCTTAGCACTAAGTTATAGGAGTAAGAAATCACTGCCTCTGAACAGACTCTGTCATGAAAGAACACATGAAGCTGCACAAATTACACACTGAGAGGAACTTGTAAGTAAGAACAGCGAATCATTTCAGCTATTTACGATTCAATTAACTCCCTAAACGAAGCACCGACTGAATCCCTTAAAAAGGGAGCAAGATCACAGAGAGTTATTATTTCAGATGACCACTGGACTCACATGCTGGACCGGGTACATTCCTCATCCAGATGTGCCAGATATGGTAGAGTGTAAGATACAGTGTAAGGTGCTCCGTAGAAGTGATGCCTGCATCTTTGGTAAAAACTGAGTAACAATTTAAAAAAAATGTATATGAACCATTTTACTGAACTGGTTCAAAGTCTGGGACCTAGACTTTAGACTAAGATCCTTTTGCTTTGCCTTAATTATGTTTATTTCATTAAAACAGATGATGGAATGTTCCAATTTGTCACCAACAAAACAATCACAACACTTTTATCACCGGTCTGTAAAGCACTTTGAGCTGCCACCGGCATGAAAAGTGCTACGTAAATAAAATTATTATTATTATTATTATTATTATTACTACCAAAACTTTACCAAATGTTGCAGTAGGGACTGTTTCGGTAGTGACATTGGGCCTCATTCAGCAACTGTTCTTAAGGCATGTAGAAACACGCCTGTTACAGCTGTATTTGTAAGCCTTCAGCAATCCCCCAAATGAAACATGGTCCCTAGCTAAGTTTCCAGGCAAAGGACTGTGCACTTAACTTTTGCAGACATGTTGTTTATCGATACCTAAAATGTTCCCAAAATGTGACAGAACCGGAAACATAGCAATTGTGTCACTTGGAGTTGAGTGAAAACTCAACAAGCTCCACAACAGTCAGCTTGATTTCATGTACTCATTCTCCAATCCATCTTCAGCGTCTAAAGGCGCTTGGTAAGTCACAGCTGGTTACACATTTATATAAACTCTTGCTGCCAGTGAACACTTTGGACGTGATTCAGGCCCGGCAGGCGGAACTAAATCATGAGTGGGGCATCCAGAAACCCTGGATGAGGCGGAGCAGACAGGGTGCAGCATATCCACACACCGGAAAAACAACCCCTAAGGCACCACATATTATTCAGAAAAGAATCAACAGTAAAGCCACATTTACAGCAATTCACCAGACATCTGTCTATTTAGGAAACCTGCTATCGTTCCACAACGTACTGAACATTCCTGCACTCAAAAAAAAAAACGCAGGGTATAAACAACTCAGTTTGGTTCATACTCATAACCCAGCGCTGGGTCACTATGTAACAGAACACAGGCCGGGTTATTCTGACCCAGCATCCATGGTTTGTCCCAACCTGTAAGAAACACCTACTTATCCAAAATAATGTGTCATACATTAAAAGAGGTCTAGTCCAGGGGTCGCAACCCAAAGGTTAAGAAAAGCCATTTTGTCCTTTTAACAAAAATGAAATTTTATTTTATGTCCATTTTACCATCTTGGCTGTAAATATGTCTCAGTGTGTGCTGATGTACTAGTATAGGATAAAAAATACAATATAAATAAAAACAGACTTACTTTGCTCTGCTTTAAGCTTTAGCTCAGCTACAGCTGCTTTTCTCGCATCTCCAGCAGGAAACTTTTCCATAAAAGTAGAATTGTTTCATGTTAAACGTTGATTTTTTACGAGGCCCAAGCCGCTTCTCGTTCGAATTTTCATGTTCCACCGTAAATGGTGCCCGAGGCACCAGAATGTAACTCCTGCACCATTTAAGGTGGAACGGAAGAATTCGAACAAGAAGCTGGCGAACGACTGTCTAGTGTTTGACAGTTTCTCGTTGCAGATTAAACGTATCAGGAAACCAGCTGGAGTGATTATAAATGCCCATTCAAGTCCATTCATCTCCAAATCATCGATGTTCATCTTAAGTCTTTCTCTTTGCCTTTTCATGAGCTAGGAGCTAGGTGAGATTGCTATCTGTGTTGCTATGGTGACCAGCAGTCTGCCCACCAACCTTCAGGGTTTGAGGGAACATTTACATTGTTTGTACCTTAATGAACGAAAAAGGAACCTGCACAGAACCTTTATTTCTAACAGTGTAGAGGAAAGTTACTCTCACATATGCTCTGGTTCACAGTAAATAACCTTACTCTTCAATTCTCCCTTAATGCTGCCATGTTTTTCTTCATGGAAAGTATGAAAATTGCAGCAATAATAAGCACTTTGGTGTTCTGTAGTCACACGATTTACCAGGTGGAGTTAGTGCAAATAGCCAGACTGTGTGGTTAATGCTATTTTACTTAGTGTAATTAGTCACAGTTATAAAATTATGACACAGATAATATTAATATCTAATTAAACGTGACTTGGTAACCAGTTAAATTTCGATAAATGTCACATAATGTGCTGCAGCCACCAGTGATCCTCCAGCAAGAAAGTGGAAACATCACAGTGCTAACGTTATGTAAATTATCACAACCAGAAAAATAAAGTACCTGTCTTAATTGGTTTCACAAAGTAGAAAATAGTAAAACGTCTATATTTTATGGAAGTTTACTTACTGTCAGTGCTGCTGCCTCCCAAGGGGCCAGTTAAGCAACTGTTTTAACCAATAAAAGTGATGCATACAAACCCTTCTATGTTAATCAGTGTAACCTTTTCTATTTTCCTTATGCAGCAATCAGAGGTAGCACACAAAGTTTGTTTTTTGCCTCCTGCCTCTATAGAAGCATGTAGAGACAGTAGTGGATTTAGACGGGCATGATGACTGGCTAGTTGGTCACTGCCCCACTAAACGATCTCTGCTGCCAGAGCTGACTTTTTTGTGATACTTTCTAATCTGATTGTGTCTGTTTCACATTGCAATGAATAAAGTGCAGAGGAAAGCATGGCCTGATGTTGCGTCCCCTCCTTTTGGAGTGGACCATTGTAAAAATGTGCCAGCAATGAGCTAAACCAACAATCCCTGACTACAGCTCAGATGTTTGGTGCACACCTGAGTACAGGTAGAACGTTCACACCTGTCAAAACAAGCCGTATCAAAGAGCTGGTCAGAGGCGTAACTCACTGCTTAACCTGCTCCAGCTTGCTCTCCTCTGCTTTAATGTAGTCTTTTAGGGAGGTCACCAGGTCCTTCTCTGTAAACAGCAGGTCTGTCATCTGGCCTGCAAACACAAGAGAGTGGACATGAGAAACGTGGAACAAACATTTAAAACATTCTTAAATTAGAGAATTCACACCGATCAAACTGCCTATAAATCATTCTTAAATTAGAGAATTCACACCGATCAAACTGCCTTTAAAACATTCTAAACCTAAAGAATTCATACAGATCAAACTGCCTATAAATCATTCTTAAATTAGAGAATTCATGCTGATCAAACCGCCTTTAAAACATTCTTAAATTAGAGAATTCATACCGATCAAACCGCCTATAAAACATTCTAAAACTAGAGAATTCATACCGATCAAACTGCCTTTAAAACATTCTAAAACTAGAGAATTCATACCGATCAAACTGCCTTCAAAACATTCTAAAACTAGAGAATTCATACCGATCAAACTGCCTTTAAAACATTCTAAAACTAGAGAATTCATACAGATCAAACTGCCTTTAAAACATTCTAAAACTAGAGAATTCATACAGATCAAACTGCCTTTAAAACATTCTAAAACTAGAGAATTCATACCGATCAAACTGCCTTTAAAACATTATAAAACTAGAGAATTCATACAGATCAAACTGTCTTTAGAATTTTAGAATGTGTCAAAAGCGGTTTGATCGGTGTGAATCCTTTAGTTTTAAAATGTTTTAAAGGAGGTGTGATCGGTCTGAATCGTCTAGTTCTAGAAGGTTTTAGAAGGTAGACTGATCAGTGTGAATCCTTTAGTTTTAAAATGTTTTAAAGGAGGTGTGATCGGTCTGAATCGTCTAGTTCTAGAAGGTTTTAGAAGGTAGACTGATCAGTGTGAATCCTTTAGTTTTAAAATGTTTTAAAGGAGGTGTGATCGGTCTGAATCATCTAGTTTTAGAAGGTTTTAGAAGGTAGACTGATCGGTGTGAATTCTCTTATTTTAGAATAAAACATTCATGCTGATCAAACTGCCTTTAAAACATTTTAAAACTGTCTTGTTGCATTCCGGCATGTGAACCAGACTAAAGAGGTCCATCAATAAGCTGATGTTTGTAAAGGTTTGTGTAGCTCTGCCACTGATTGGTCTTTGTTTCTTCCTGTAAAAGGACTCACCGATGGAAGTGAAGAAGTCACTGTGGGCCGAGTTCTCGTGGAGCAGGCAGCTGATCAGCAACACACACCACACACTCCGGACCTCCATCTACACACAGAGAGAGAGAGAGAAAGAGAGAGAGAGAGAGACAGAGAGAGAGAGAGAGAGAGAGAGAGAGAGAGAGAGAGAGAGAGAGAGCGAGAGCATTAAATACTAAGGTCCAGTTGTGTATCTTAACTGTGGGTAGCTCCACCCCCAGTGCTACAATACTTATATTATTTGAGACTGTTTTATTCTGCTGTTTATTAGAGCTAAGAAGTGTGATGGCTGACAATAATATGAGTAAATCAGTACATCAGTAAAGCGCTGTTTAACTAAAACCACTGGGGTATAAAATGAATATCTAAAATCTAAATGTAAAACTGGCTATTCAGTCCATTAAACTGGTATCCGTATTGGCCACAAACCTTTAGATGCAACAGATGATGATTATGCAAAGTCACAGTGGTTTGCTTCTGCAGTTTAGATGCTAACAACTCTGGATCCTCTGAGCCGTAAAGACTCGTACACCATGCTGACCGCAGACCCCTAATCTGAGCAGTGAAGCTTAGAGCAGCGTGGCAGGCCAGTCCACTCTGTGAGCCAGACAGCCCAACAATGCAGCATCTACACTCCTTACAAAAAAGCAGAACAGTCAACCTTACAGCCCACAGCCAAGCCACTGCTGCACTGACCTCGATTCCTCCATACAAACACAGAGATCACACAATTGCTGTCCTCACTTCACCAGCTCAGTTATCCACTGTCCCTTTAAAATGCTTTTGTGAAAGAAAGAAGGCCCTAAGGGTGAAAGTGAAGGACTGAATTGGGTGGATCTGATGTGCTCTATCACACAAACTGCTTTGAGGAAACAGAAGGTAATTTTCCAGCTACAGGAAGAAGGATTTTCAACTCCTCCCGGGTCCGAAACCCAAAATCGGCCTGTGCTTTGGTTTACTAATCTTACCCAGGGGGCTGTGACCTCACTGTACCCACACAGACGTGAGTCCTAAATCACTGGATGCAGCACATAAACCTCACTTGTGACAGACACTGTTGAATTGAGGAGTGCATCAAAGTAGCCAAGCAAGCCTTTGGTTCTATTAAGAAAATTCTGGTGGTTGGCCACTAGGGGGCGACCTCAAGCCAACTCCATGTGAGATGTACACAATAACCGATCTCCAATCAGTTATCCAATCATGACACCCTCGCCTTAAGCTTGTAAAATCGGAATTTCTGACCTCGAATTCCCACTCAAGGCCTCAGCATACGTCTTGAGACGACGTTCGCCTGGCTTCAACGAACAATATGATGTAATTGCAGAGAAAATGAACAACTGCAGACATCGCGTGGAGGCTTTGTTCGCCATGTCGTGCACATAGCAGCTGGGCGAACTCCGCGGATGAAAAGCCTGTGTTTGGTTAGTAAAAAAGAGGTGAAAAAGAGGTGCCTTGAAATACACATGGACGACCTTGAGGACCTTCGTTTCGCAAGAAGTACGCTGAACGCTTTGGCAGACACATCAATATTTCACTGAGAAACGCGCATTTGTTAAATAAACAATGAATACCCCCTAAATGTAAGAAGTTAAGTCTATTATTCGGTAGTACTAAGTAGCAATAAGCACCAAAACATATAGGTTATCTTATATTTAGGTTCACAAGAGGACGAGGCTGAAGTTCGCTTCCTATTTGCCGGATTCTTGTTCGAATTCTCCCGTGCCAAAATAAACGGTGGCAGTATTTTGGACTTGCACGTCGCCATAGTTAGAACTGTGATAGAATCGTTTTCCACTAGTCATTAAACTTATCATAAAATGTCACAGAGTCACCTGCACTGGTGACGCGACTGTAATCTCGCAAAGGCGCTTTCGGCTTCGCGCAACCGTCAAGAATGTCCTTTCGCAAGACGTACGCTGAGGCCGCCAGACATGGATGAATCAATAACACTGACGGTCTGCTGTTTTGAGAAGGTCATCATGAACATCAGTTACCACTCATATTAGCTGGCTCACTTGTTGGTAACGATATTCGCTTTCATTGAGGTGTCCATGATATTTTCGCTTTGTAGCTTGAGGTCGAAAATGTTCGATCAAGTTCAAGCTCCAATTTCCCACTTCTGGGTAAAAACAGACCCATCTAAAAGGTTACGTATCTACAGAATGAGGGCCTACATGTCTGCAAACCTGGTTTGTTTATTGCGGGATACTAAACACCAAGCAGAAGAGCAATCAGCGATTTTCTGATTTGCCTTACGAAACAACCAGTATGGCAGTGTATACTGACACCTACTGGCATCTGTACTATACTGCGCCCCAGTGTTGTGAGGAGGTGATCACCCTCTTTTCACTTGTTTGTGGAAGGACAGCTGTGTTATCTGTTTCGCTCAAAAGATTTGGTGGTTGGCCACTAGGGGGCAAATAGAAGTCAATGACTGACACAGCTGTGGTCTTCTATTTAGACTTCTATTATTAGATTGATCAAAGCATTGGATCCCCATGTGTGAACAGGCCTAACATTACTTGCTGCCGACTTCCCGTCGGTTCTGCTCATAAGGATCGTTGATTCTCCTCATTTTTTCCAACACACAGCTCACCTGTTTGGAACTGCATTGAACAATCTGTGGGAAAGTGACTAGCATAGCCATAGCAGCTAACCAATGAGCAAATGGCTGGACTTGACCAGCAGATGTTGCCAGGGCTGAAAGATTTGAGGAAAACATCTAATTGTGATTTTATTGACCGATATTATGACTGTGATTTAAACTGCAATTATTTTCTATAGATTAATGTATACATTTTTTAGGCCAGTATCTACTCTTTCTGGCTTGAGGCTTGAATGATGACTGCAGTAGTGATCCAGCCAGTTAGTTGTGGTTGTGAGGTCACAGCACATGGTATTTGGTTTCATTTCAAATTTCACTGAAATGAACAGAGCTAACGCTAATGGCCGTCTCCAGGTCCTAAACTACCCCTGTGTTATAAACTGTGCCTGCTGTGTCTGAAAGGCAGCCTCAGGTCTCTCTGCCCCAGGAATGTGATCAGGTCATGTGACTGGTCTGGACTGTGAGGCATGCTCAGCTGCCCGCAGGTAATCCTGCAGAGTAACGTGAGGCCAGTGAAGGTAAGAAAGGAGCACTGTGGACATGTGGATAGAAATATGCTCAGTGGTGTGTAGTCTTACTACAGTTAGCTAGTTTGTTACTTTATTAGCATTCACACATCTACTACCCCAAACAAATAGCTGCCCTGCTATGGTTTTTCATGAGCATCTAAAATGACCAAGTGAAAAAAAACAAGAGCTTCCAAAACTAGAGTTTAAAAAATTACTAAAAGCTACAGCTACAAAATGTGACTCCTAGCAACCACCCGGAAGACCTGGTAGACACCAAAACAGCCCCATCAGATAAACAACACTTCAAGCTTTCATCTCTGAGAGAGAGGAGAAAATCAAGCTGCTTCAGATCTGAAAACATCCACAGGTGTTTCTGTCCATCCTTCCACTGTGAGAAGACGACTCAGCGCTGTGGGTCTGAAAGGATGTGTAGCTGTCAAGAAGAACCTCACTGAGACAAAATAAAAGAACGTTTAGAACACTAAAACTGGACCTCCGGAGTGACGTTTTATGGACTGATAGTATAAATTTGTATTTGCGATTACTTGAATTGTGAGAAGCAGAAAATGCGACCAACTTCTAAGACTGAACTTTGGAGGTGTGTCTGCAGATTTCTTTGAGAAACTGCAAGTGAGTCTCCTGAAAAGAATGGAAGCTGTGATAAAGGTAAAGAGTGGACATAATGGATACTGAAAAATGTATGTTATATTTAGTCGATGTGGCTTCTTTGTAACTTTTTGTTAAACATATGTTTTCTGCTTTTTTCCCTAATGCTGAAAAAATTAAAGGTTGTTCTGAATGGATGTTTTCACTGGAACGTAAAGAAACATTACGTACGCTGACCCACAGTTACGTTACACACGCTGCCCCACACTGACCCACGCATGACCCACAGTGACGCTACTGAACAAAACTGACCTACACTGACCCACACCTACATCACCGTTAACACAACAGCCTACACAAACACCACCACCAAACATCCTAAACACACTACAACCAAACAAAACACTACCACCAAACCCAACACCGTAAACAGACACGACCCCTGAACACAACACTGTAAGGACACCATCACAAAGCCCAACACTGTAAACACAACCCATCACCGAACCCAACACCATAAACAGACACCACCACCAACCCCAGCACTATAAACACAGCCCATCACCAAACCCAACACCCTAAATACACCACCACCAACCCCAACACCGTAAACACAAACCACCACCAAACCCAACACCCTAAATACACCACCACCAACCCCAACACCGTAAACACAAACCACCACCAAACCCAACACTCTAAATACACCACCACCAACCCCAACACCGTAAACACAAACCACCACCAAACCCAACACCCTAAATACACCACTACCAACCCCAACACCGTAAACACAAACCACCACCGAACGCAACATTGTAAACACACCACCAGCAAACCCAACACCCTAAACACACACTCCCACCAACCCCAACCCCCTAAATACACCACCACCAAACCCAACACCCTAAATACACTACCACTAAACCCAACCCCCTAAATACACTACCACCAAACCCAACACCCTAAATACACTACCACTAAACCCAACCCCCTAAATACACCACCACCAAACCCAACACCCTAAATACACTACCACTAAACCCAACCCCCTAAATACACTACCAGCAAACCCAACACCCTAAACACACACTCCCACCAACCCCAACCCCCTAAATACACCACCACCAAACCCAACCCCCTAAATACACCACCACCAAACCCAACACCCTAAATACACTACCACTAAACCCAACCCCCTAAATACACCACCACCAAACCCAACACCCTAAATACACCACCACCAAACCCAACACCCTAAATACACTACCACCAAACCCAACCCCCTAAATACACCACCACCAAACCCAACCCCCTAAATACACCACCACCAAACCCAACCCCCTAAATACACCACCACCAAACCCAACCCCCTAAATACACCACCACTAAACCCAACACCCTAAATACACTACCACTAAACCCAACACCCTAAATACACACTCCCACCAACCCCAACCCCCTAAATACACTACCACCAAACCCAACCCCCTAAATACACTACCACCAAACCCAACCCCCTAAATACACCACCACTAAACCCAACACCCTAAATACACTACCACTAAACCCAACACCCTAAATACACACTCCCACCAACCCCAACCCCCTAAATACACTACCACCAAACCCAACCCCCTAAATACACCACCACCAAACCTAACCCCCTAAATACACGACCACCAAACCCAACCCCCTAAATACACTACCACCAACCCAACACCCTAAATACACCACCACCAAACCCAACACCCTAAACACACACGACCACCAAACCCAACAACCTAAACACACTACCACAAAAAACAACACCCTAAACACTCACGACCACCAAACCCAACACCCTAAACACACACGACCACCAAACCCAACACCCTAAACACACACGACCGCCAACCCAACACCCTAAACACACACGACCACCAAACCCAACAACCTAAACACACTACCACAAAAAACAACACCCTAAACACTCACGACCACCAAACCCAACAACCTAAACACTCCACCACGCACACGATCAAACTCAAAACCTGAACACACTCAACTCGAAGTGTATGAATCAGTTCCACCAAGCAGCAGGTCAAAATAACTCAGTCAGTCAGTCAGCCCCCAACCCGGAGGAAATTTCTAGACTCTCTGTCCATCACGCTGCATAACTGTCCTTTAGCGGCAGGTATACACACGTTCCTCACCCCAAAACACTCCAACACACACACACTTACCGCACTTCTCCAGATTTTCCTCCCAACACTATCGATATTTTTCTCCCTCTCTCGCTACGTGTAGCCCACACTGTGTTTTTTTTTCGCACCCGTATTCTGGAAAGCTCTAAGACTGACCCTATAGCCTCCTGCTCTGCGATTGGCCAGCAGCTCATTTTCCCAAGGGATCCCGCCCATTATTGTGAAGCAGTAGCCAATCCCACGGTAGATAGGCGAGGTTTCCTTAAATGTGGGTGGGAAGTAAAATAAGTGCTTGTGAAACAGTTCATGCAAAGGGGAAGAGCCTCACGCAAGTTTATACGATGTTGCAAGGTACAAAAACTCTGTGCACAAAAAGAGGAAATGTGAGGAAAATAATCGGCGTTGTTTATCTTTCACATATTTTTCCCCAAATATAAAAGAAAACTAAACGTTTTACTTTTCAGTTTAAGTGCTGGTTAAGTATGGGGGGTGGGGTGCTATGTTTTAGGATTTAACCAGAATCAGCACAATTGATTTACGCGGATTGATATCTATTTTACTAAACAACTGAGACACTTTTATTCGCCACTATTAAAAACAGCAGTAGTCTTTATTATTTACAGTAATAATGCACATTTTTTAAAAACCACTTTTACGGTATATATGGTGAATTAACGTTTGCTTCCGACTGGATCATACATTACATCCGTTCCATACGATGTGGTCATTTTTTCGCTGTTTTGTAGTTCATTCGTGGTTTAAAAACTACAAGTCCCACATACTGTCGCGTTCCAGATTACGCTAGCATGCACTAACTAGCGATGCCGGTCTGAAGCAGTCGCAGCGTCCCTTAGCAATATTATCATATTTATAGTGATTTGTAAATTACTACAATTTGGAGGCCAATTATAAAGTAATACACAAAGCAGGATTTCGATGTTTTGAGGGGTTGGTGAGTTTGAACGGCGAGGGCAGCCTAACTAATTAGCCTGAATGCCCGGATGAGGCGGCGGCATCTGATTCGCCCAGACGGCCTCCACGTTGCTCCACGGGATATGTTGTTCGTGGACTACAGACGGACTACAAAACAAACAGCAAGTCTTATATCTTTACGCCTTTGACAAAATATCGAAACTTTTCGTGTGTTTTGAGTAGATATGTGCACACGGACTAATCCGGGATCCTGGCTAGAGAAAGACAGACTGAAAACCTCTTCGTAAAGGACGAAGCTGAAGTCAGCTTATTCGCCGGTTCTATTTTTTCCGTCCCACCTTAAAACGTGCAGTAGTTACGTTCTGGCGCCTGAGGTGCGATATTTTAACTGCCTCACTATTTAAGGTGGAACGGGAAAATTCGAATAAGAAGCTGGCTAACAGGAGGCAAACTTCAGCCTCGTGTATAAAGGCCACTGTCCGTGAGGAGTGAGCAGTGGTGGACATACTGGACCGTACTGGGCTGCGGTCAGCTGTGGTTCCAAAAACCTTCATAAGGCATTAAGACTGCAGAACGTTAGTCAACTACTAAACTTGGCCACATTTAAAAATTTCGAGTACACACTCAAAAAAGATGGTTCTTCAAGAGTTCTTTAGTAAAGGTAATGGTTCTATATAGAACCAGGAGGCTTATATTGAACTATTTCATGCTTAAACAGTTCTTTGCATGGTGAAATGGTTCTTCAGACTTATTAAGAATATGTTGTATTTGGTCTGTATAGAACCATTCTGAATATGGTTCTATGTAGCACCAAAAAGGGTTCTTCTTTTGTAAGATGCTTGCCATCGTAACAATAACAGAACCCTTTATGGTGCTATATAGAACCAAATACAACACCATTTCCATCAGTCTGAAAAGCCATTTCAACATGCAGTGAACCATTTAAGCATGCAAGTGGTTCTGTGTAGAGCCCATAGCTCAAAACTGAACCATTGACTTTACTAAAGAACCCTTGAAGAACCATCTTTTTAAAGAGGCTCATTACTGTATCAGGTAAAGCATTACAGCTCCCAGCACTAGTTCATTTACATGTAATCGTGTGTTTCGGCAGGCCTGTCCACCGTAGATCCAGAGGAATGCAGTCACTGAGGTCTCTGTTCAAGCCAAGGCTGCCAAAGCTGGTGACCCCTCAGCCCTTGTCCACCTATGTGTCCCGCATAAGGTCACTTAGCCCTGTTTGCGCACACATGCATGAGCCAGAACAACCTCACTCTGCAGATCATGTGTCATATTGCAGTCCTGACTTTGAGTAACGTGTGGTCACTCTGTGCAGATATCTGATGAAGCTGAAGGAGGACGATAAAGCGTGTCGGGAGGCCCTCAGATCTGGAAGCCTGCTGCTTTACCACAAACTCGCCCCTCTGCTGCAGAAGAAGGAGGAAGGCATCTATCAGCTGCCACGTCTTAGGAATCCAGGTGCAGAGATACAACACCCTACACAACGTTCACTGGATAGATAAAGAGTGTGATGGCCTGATTCGTAGTCACAGCCATTTTCGAATGCCTTTAAAATGATCTGCGACTGTCTGCTTTTGAGATGTCGAACGAATTCTGGAGAAGCTCGGCCGAGATAAACAGCTCATCAGCGAGGCTGTTCTCATCAGCTGTCCTGAGACTGAAGAGCCTTGTTTCTGTCTGGATGTGGGTAAGAACAGACAATAGAAATTCATATATAATACATAAAGAATGAATCATTTCTGGTAAACTGACTGTTTTTTATTTGGTGTTGTAGGTGATTTACAGAAGAATAGCATGGAGCAGCTTTGTGATGGTGTTTTCATGGACCTTCGAACAGCCTTCTTTATGCTTAGAGGACCAGAAACCACGTTGGTGGCTAAAGTATGTACTACATATTAGAGGTGAATTACGCTGTTTTTTGGATTTCTGCAGATTTGAAACATTGAGATGTAAACAAAGGTTTGTGAAAAAATGTTTATGATGATAAATCTGGAAAAAAATCTTTATTTTGCCTAATAACACTCTGCATACCTTTCTGCCATGAACAGATTTAAAAATTTAAATTTAGGCCTCAGAAATGTCATAAAATAATGCATCAGGCAGCAACTTTATAACCATTTCATGTAATAACTTTCTATGAGGGAGCTTTTAGAGGTGGACGTCTGGTTCCTATCACCACCACTGTGAACAAATCTGACTCTCGAATAGAGAATTTCACACCAAACCAATCTGAATGAGTTTGCTCACTTTTTAATCGTTTATCCATTTAATTATGCACACTTTTGCATTATAATCCATGTAGTTACTTAAGAATAAGAATGACGTCGTAAGCTTCTTCTGATCATCTCATGTGTTTAGGGTCAGGCCCTCTTGCGGTGGCATCAGACGCATGGCTTCTGCAGCGCGACTGGACAGCCCACGGTTCGGAATCAGTCTGGAAGCCAGAGAGTGTGTCCCTATAGCGGCATCACCTACTACCCCCAAGTGAGTGGTCCCTTTCTCAGCTCCTCCCTCTCAAAACATGAGATTAAAGGATAAGTTCCCATCAGTTGAATGTTGTGCACCTTTTAGATTGAAGAGTCATGTTTGGGTTACTATTGAATGATGTCATTCTCTTCTGTAATGGGTACAGTGCAGTATTGTTCAACATACTCCTGCTATTGAGGCAGCGCTTCAGATGGAAGGTTTGTGTAATGTACAAACCCAGTTCCAAAAAGGTTGGGACAGTAGGTAAAATGCAAATAAGAATAGACGGCAGTGATTTGGTTTATATTCAGTTGAAAATAGTACAAAGACAAGATATTTAATGTTTCTATTGATAAACTAATTATCATTGTTTTTTTTTGACTCTAATTCTAACTGTGATGCCTGCAACATGTGTCATGAAAGTTGGGACAGGGGCATGTTTATCACTGTGTTACATCACCTTTTTAACAGCGTTCAGTAATCCTTTGGGAACTGAGGACACCAGTTGTTGCTGTGAAAGTGAAAATTCCCATTCTTGCTTGATATAACAGTTCAGGTGCTTAACAGTCTGGGGCCTCCATTGTTGTATATTGTGCTTCACAATTTGCCACGTTTCAACGGGAGACAAGTCACCTGCTGCCTCTTAGTATGAAGCCACACTGTGGTAACACATGCAGAATGTGGCTTGGCATTGTCTTATTGAAACAAACAGTTATGTCCCTGAAGATGTCATCCAGATGTCAGCATATATTGCTTTAAGCTAAGTATGTCTCTCTCAGTATTAATGGTGCTTCACAGATGTGCTAGTTACCCACTAGCACCCCCAATACTAGGACAGATGCTAGATTTTGAACTTAACATTGGTAACGTTCGGGATTGTCCTTTACCTCTTTGGCCCAGAGAACAAGACTATGGCACATGCCTCCACTTTGCATCAGTCTATCTCAGATGAGCTTTAGCCCAGAGAAGTCGGCGGCATTTCTGGATGTTGCTAATAAATGGCTTCTGCTTTGTGCAGTATAGTCTTCACTTGCATTTGTAGATGCACTGTTTAGTGAAATGGTTTTTCTTAAGTACTCCTGAGCTTATGTGCTTATGTTAATTACAGAAGCATACCATTTTTTTTAATCTGAGGGATTAAAGATCATGGGAATTCGATATTGATTTTTGATCTTGTCCTGTATGCACAGAGATTTCTCCTGGTTCCCTGAATCTTTGGTGATATTCTTCATCGTAGAGTGTAAAATACCAAAAATTTCTGCAAATGCTTGTTGAGAATCTCATTGTTCTTAAACTGTTCAAGCATTTTTTACAAAGTGGCGATTGTTGACCATCCTAGCTCCTGACATCCTGACATCCTAGCTCATAAAGGACTGTACCTTTGTCCCTGTACTCATACATTTGCCCGTCTCAACATTTTCGGAATGTGTTGTAGACATCATTTTAAGAATGTGTGTATATTTACAAAAAATTAAGTTCAAAAGGTAAAACTTTAAATATCTTGCCTTTGTGCTGTTTTCACTCAAATACAGGTCAAAGTGATTTATAAATCACTGCTTTTTTATTTTATTTACATTTTACCTATTGTCCCAACTTATTTAAAATTGAGTTTGTAATTGGATTGTGAATGTAGAATTTGTTTAAAATAATGTAGGTCATATACCGGTTTTGTAATGTGTGCTGCTGGCCTGCAGATGGCGCCGGTAGTGATCGTTTTGGTGTCTGATGGGAACAGGTGTCTGCTGGGCCGCCAGAGCTCCTTCCCACCGGGCATGTACAGCGCGCTGGCGGGCTTCTGTGACCTAGGTGAGTCACCATCTGCCAGACAGCGGCAAACCCAGCACCTGAAAGCAGCACTCCAACATGCCCAGCTGTTTACTGACCGACTGCTTACAGATGTGGGCTTAAAAGAATACTTTATCCCAAAACTAACACACCCCGCTAATAATGCAGAAAAGCTGTATTATAGCTTTTTAGTGAAGTATTCTTTCAATGTGCATATTGATAATGACCATAATTACAGTTGGAAAAGTCTGCTTGTGCACTTAAATACAGTTACCAGTTAAATTCAAGTGATCATGTAAACAGTTTACTGTGATGTATCAGGTTCAAACTCAAAGTTTAAGAAATTCCATAAAGACACCTGAAATTCAGCCCAAAAATCAGGGTATTCACAGATTGTATATCATTTATCTGATGTCTTTTGTTATCTTTGTGTGCGCAAACATACACCAGAAGCATATGTACACCTATACAGTACAAATATAGAAATAAAACCAATATACTTTCTATTTGATATTACATTTGGTGCTTCATCCACACCAACGTTTTCCAATTACCAGATCACTTAAAGGGGAATTCCACTATTTATTTCAAATTTTCCCCATAATTCAATGGTTAAGATATAAACAATGTAATACAGAGTGGTTTGATATGAATGGTTCATTGTAGAGAAACCGACTGACTCTGATTTCTTTACAGTGATTGTGACAGGAACCTGGGTTTTACCGTGTCTACAACACAAATGTATCCAAAACCATCAGTGAACCTACACGTGTCTTCTGAGTTTTTATATGGAATTTTGATGACGGTAAAATTATGCTAAAGCAAAAAATGTTTTTTTTTGCTGCATGCATCTCTGTCATGAATAGACTTAAAAGTAGTTTTTATGCCAAGGTCTTCCTAAAAGTCACAGTAAAACAGTGTCTCAGACATCAGTCAGTGAATTCATACCCATTTCATGTAGTAACTTTCTGTGAGGGAGCTTTTAGAGGTGGACGTCTGGTTCCTATCACCACCACTGTGAACAATTCTGACTGCATTTCACACCAGACCACTCTGAATGACTTTGTTTACAATTTAATTTAATTATGCAGAAATGCAGAAAAATTGGGAATTTCTCCAAATGCATGTAAAATTACTCCGAGTATGCTGCTGTGTTATTTGTGGTGCTGTATGTAGGGGAAACGCTGGAGGAGACTCTGAGGAGGGAGGTGGCTGAGGAGGTGGGACTGGAGGTGGACACGCTGCAGTACTCAGCCTCGCAGCACTGGCCGTTCCCACAGAGCTCCTTCATGCTGGCCTGCCATGCTACGGTTAACCCAGACAAAACACAGGTGAGATGTGCTCCACGTTCTGTGTTACAGAGCAACACCAACCTGTCCAAAGTTCACACTTGTGTACTTCATGTGCTTTCCGGGAGCGCGTCCCATTTCTCAAACACACAGTGCGCACTAAACGCACACTGAACACACCATTTCCAGTACACCGCATCCAAGCATCATTGCACACTTCAATGCATATTTAAACGTTGTTTCATAAATATCAGGGAAGAACATTTAACACTGTCTGACCCACAAAGATGTAGCAGTAATGGGAGGTATAGCAGTGTATTGGTTGAAATTCTTCCTTAGATGTGAGGTTTTGTTCCACGAAGCTACATGTGGCTTCTTATTCGCATTTCCCGTTCCACCTTAAATGCTGCAGCAGTTGCATTCAGGCACCTATACAGAGCCTTAGCCAGTTTATGACCTGGCTACTTCCTATTTCCCTCGTTATATCAAAAACAGGACCGCAAAACAGCAGAGGGCGCCCATGAGCGAGTTCTCAATCAATGGTGGTGAATGAAGCTAAATGGCTAATAATGAGAAGTTAAAATAGTTTCTGATCACTTGCCCAGAACTTTCCTTCAATTTTAGAAAGTAGAAGGATGTATTTCACTAAAAAGCAAAGAAAACTTACTACTTGTAAGTTACCTTGTTTCTACATCAACGTTTAAAAGCTCTTAAAATTATAACAGCAGTGTTAAAACGTTTTATGCTGTTCTGTGTTCAGTTTAAGCATTCACGAACTATGGTTTTGCTCAAATGCTCCGTATGAACCCATTCATTTTGGACTCACTCAGGAGCGCCCTCTAGCGTTTAAGAAACCCAGAAGACGTTACAGTGATAATTCTCCTTTCTACAAGTTCTCTGATGGAGCTGGACCAGCAGCAGCTGCCTCCCCCAGGTCCTAGTGCCGTGCTATTTCGATATACTGTCACATGCAAATGTTTGGGCAATCTTGGTGAAATGTTTTGGTGTTATGGGCATGTTTACTTCTATAGAGAACACACTGTGCACATTTTAGTACAAAATGACTGTTTATATTAAGGAATAAAATGGCATGTGCGAACATTATGGCACATTTAATGCTATATGCTTTATTTTTTCCCCAGTATGTTAACCTCAGCAAATAAATAGAAAGTAAATAGAACCTGTACATTAAAAAGTGCAGACAAATACCATATATTTCCCCTTTAGTTTGTTCTCCGTATAGAATGAGTTCACTTATTTTCACTTAGAAAATCGACAAAACATGTACATTAACTTGGAATGTCCAGACATTCATATGAATGGTCAGTACATATAGAAATAAAAGCTGCCGTCATGTGACGGTGAATCAAATGTGCTGCATGGCCGCTGCAGCTCTCTAACCTCTCCAGCTGTGTTTGTGCGCAGTTGATTCTGGACAAGGCCGAGTTGGAGGACGCTCGCTGGTGTAGTCTGGAGGAGATCCTGGCTGCGCTGCAGGTTAAGTACCCACACCGCGACCCCAACGCGACTCAGGCCGGTTTCTGGGTGCCTCCCGATTTCGCTGTAGCCAATCGGCTCATCCAGGAGTGGGCTGACCAGCAGCAGCTCAAAAAGAAATAGCACAGGTCTTCACGTGGGACACAGATGGAACAGCGTCTACATCATCAACCTCAGTCCACTTTTTGCTGCTCACCGACTTCAACTTCACATTCTACTAAATCAGCTGCCAGCTACGCAGAGAGGAGATCAAAGGGTCTAAAACACTAAAATTACAGTTTAGCTTACAGATATGCTGTAGTGCTTTAGGTGTTTAGCTGAAGATGCTGAAATTTAAAGCTGCACTATGTAACTTTTTCCTTTAAAATTGAAGGAAGTCAGTAGAGATGCACCGATACCACTTCTTTCCTTTCGATACCGATACCTGATCCTTTAGTAACGGCCGATACTGAGTACCGATACCGATACTAACTGTCTAACCTAACTCACGTATAAGTCCTGATATTTATACTTTAGTTATATTTTTAAAACATTTTGTTAAAATCTATGTTCTGCATCAAATAAAACACTTTTAGCTTGGCTAGATAGCATTTACTTGTTGGAATATATTTATTAGATTCTTAAGAAACCGTATTACTGTTCATTTATTGTATATATTTAGTATTTACTATTATTTTATAAGTAATAAGAGCCATGTTTAACAATTTAAGTAAATCTAAAATATCTTTATTGTGCAAAACAGTTAATAACAGAACTGAACAGTGTACGGATAAACCTGTGGTGTTTATCAGCACACAGCAGCTTCTCTGGCTCAAAAACGGAGCTGAATGTAGTTTCACATCTAAAATTCTCGAGTCGTTTGTCTCAGACGTGCGTCTTGTTCACTCATTCTGCATCTCTGAGCGTCAGTTCAGTAATTATCGTCGTTTATGTGTGCAGTTACACATTTCAAATCCCCAAATCTTACATAGTGTAGCTTCAAATTTCAGTAGAAGGGACTCTTAAAATTGGTTTAATATGGTTTGATGCTGTGGATGTGAATAAGATTCAGATTCATTTTTACTGATTCATTGTTGCCTGCATTCCTAAAAAAAGATTCTTCAAGGGTTCTTTAGTAAAAACAGTAGTTCTATATAGAACCATGAATGCTGAACCATCTGCATGCCTAAAAAACGTTCTTTGCATGGTGAAATGGTTCTTCAAATTGATGGAGAATGTGTTGTATATGGATCTAGATAGGACCTTTTTGAAAATGGTTCTATATAGCACCAAAAATTGGTTCTGCTGTTGTTAATGTGTCAAACTTGGTACAGTAGAAGAACCTTTTTGGTGCTTAATTGGACCATTTTTAAAAAAGGCCTCTATATACAACACACTTTCCATCAACCTGAAGAACACTTTCACCATGCAAAGAACTTCTTTAAGCATGCAAGTGGCTCTTTGAGTGCTCATGGTTCTCTGTAGAACCATTGTCTTTTGTAAAGAACCCATCTTTTTAACCCTGCGTTCACACCGGCAGTGATGCGACGTGACAAAGCGGCTGGAGGTCATTTATTTTCAACGAAAGCTGGCAATTTCCGGCAACAGGAGGCAGCGCAAACATTGTTGCATCGCTGACTCCACCCATTTTGTGTTGCCAAAGGAGCAAAGCAATGTGGCGATCACCAATAGGAATTGAGCATTCAGCCAGAGCTGGTTTATGAGTCTGGCCACTTCTTATTTCCCCCGTTGTATTAAAAACAGGACTGCAAAACAGCAGAGGGCGCCTGCGAGTGAGTCCTCAATGAATGGGAGTAAAAGGAGCTAAACGGCTAAAAACAAAGAGTTAAAATAGTTTCTAATCACAGTGTTAAAATGTTTTATGCTGTTCAGTGTTCATAAAATGAATGTATTCTTTTACATTAAACATGTTTAAGCATTTATAATCTATGGTTTTGCTCAAATGCTCCATCTTAACCCATTAATTTTGGACCGGCTCGGGAGCGCCCCCTAGCGTTTGTTTAACTCTGGCGTTACAGAGTGGTAATTCTCATCTCTACAAGTTTTCTGATGTAGCAGCGTAGTACGCACTTTATCTCCGCCACCGTGAAACGGTTACTCCATTTTAGATAGTTGTTCCTACTACAGGTGGAATAATGGTGACGTGCTTTCGTCGCAATTAGACAGTAAAAAGACCAAATACTGTTTTCCTGACAAACTCACTGCACAGACAGGGATTAAATAAAAATAAGCATACAAGTGATTTTTCACCAGGATTTTTCTTTGTAGTGGGAACGCATCTGATTTGTGCTTGGCGTCAGTGAAACCATGGCAACCAACTTTCCGCTCGAGTTCAGAAACACCCACAGGTGATGAGCGATCAGCGGTTTATTATAGGACAAGAGGCGAAAAGTCTCTGGCGGTGTGAACGCAGGGAAATGAGTGTACCAGAGTATGACTGAGTCCAGTCTTGGTACATTTTATGCAGTAAGTGGTTTTATTGAAAAACTAGACCTTCTGTGATCTGTGCAGTGTTTCAGACCCCAAACCGAAACAAAGAACGCTGCCTGTAACTCTAAAGCTGTGATAGCTTTAGCTGTGGTTTTGTGATTGTAATAACATTTATTATGTAGGACTTTTAGTTTGACACTACTGTCTAAAATCAAGGAAAAAAATCAAATCGGAGTACTGATTCTCAGAACTGTATTCAGAGAAAGCTGAGAGAAACTAGGCCCCTTTGCTTCATATACCAATCCTGAAGTAAGAAACCTGGGTGTGATCCCAGATCCTGAGCTCTGTTTTGTCCTGCACAAAGTAGCTTTTTATCTTTATAGAAACTTGTTTATGCATTTGCTAAGAACTGTAAAGTTCATCTTATTGGACCTCCTATGAAAAAAGTACATCCTGTACAACTTAGAAAGCAGCCTGGATCCTATCAAAAGCAGGAAAGAGCTCATATCACCTCTGTTTTGAAAGAACTGCTCTGGTTACCTCTATGCATTGCTGTGAGATAGAAAAGTTGGCAATATATCTCAAAACATAAAAAGCTACTTTGTGCAGGACAAAACAGAGCTCAGGATCTGGGATCACACTCAGGTTTGGTATACGACGCAAAGGGGCCTAGTTTCTCTCAGCTTTCTCTGAATTTAGTTCTGAGAACCTTTTAGAAGTTTAAACTTCTTTTACTTGTTTTTAAAGCTGTGAATGACCTTAAAGCACCTGCATACCTCACTGACCGTCTGTGCTTGTGTTCCAGCACGTGATCTGGACAGAAAACATGGAAAGGCCTCTTGCTGTTATGATGTTTCTGTGTTGAGGCTTTCAGTTTCACTTTTTATTTGGATTCACTCTATAAATGAAGTTTATTATTATTTCTATTGTCCTCTCTGATGAGGTCACAAGGTAATTCAGCCCGCATGTGAAAGCTGAATGTCTATTTGGTGCTATATCACACTGAAGCAGGTGGCCGAACTGACCGCTGCACTGCTATGGACGGTCTGATATCGGACAAAGGACTGAATAAGTCTCTAAAGGGTGCAACAGTGAGCAAGCCAAAATAATAAATAAATAAAAACAGAAATGAATGAATGAGTAGCAGAAAAGTGAAAGTAAATAGATTTGGGAAGTAAATCCATAAACAACTAAGTGAATAAATAGCGCAAAAGCAAAAAATAAACAAATGAGCAAATGCGAGATGGAAAACTAAATAAATAAATTAATAAATAAAAATGGGCTAGAAATGCATAAATGTGAGACGTAAAACCATAAAAAAATGTAATAATAAATGCATAAATGTGAGACGTAAAAACATAAATAAATAAAAGAAGTGGGTTAGAAATGTGTAAATGTGAAACATTAAACTATAAATAAATTAATAAATGAAAATGGGTTAGAAATGCATAAATAAGTTATCTGCTATTTATTTATTTAATCCATATTTACTTATTTATTATTTTGGCTCGTTCTGGCTTCCGTTATAAATAAAAAAAAAGCAGAAGGCAACAAAACTTTTTCGGGGTGCTTTAAAGCTCGCCCTTTCAGTCAAATATCATGTCTACCTCCACAATGGACCTTTACCTAAGGCCATAATCCTCTAAGTAACCTCAAATAATCCATTGTCTTGAGTTAATAAAGTTGTTTTTGAGAACTGAAACCTGTTTATGTGTATTTAATCTAGAAATGGAGATCAGTAGCTCTGCTGTAAAGCATTCAGGGCATCAGAGACCTGCAGTGTTTTCCGGAAAGCACAGTGAACCCACAACACTCGTACACTTTAGCATTTATTTGTAAATGTTTGCTCAGCATTTATAAATGCATATGAAACACATCAGCTGTGTAACACCTCACTACTGCGGAATAAGTGTGAAACATGATCTACTGTTACTGTTTACCGTCACTCTCTCATCCCAGTGAGGAGGAGCTGTTTTACGTCTGTGTCTGGTCTCTGAAGAGTAAACTAAGTGCTGTAACAGAGCTGATATCACCAGATAACGTGCTCCGTCTGGCCCAGATGGTTGGTGCTGCTTTAACACAGGCTGTACAGGGTGCTCAACTACAGACTGAACAGAACACAAACGAAACTGAAATCACAGAAAAGGGACAAAGTGCAGATATGTGGCTGGAAAACAGCTCAAGAAGCCTTGAACTGCATCTTAATTATATTTAAGCAGTCAGCTTAGATCCAGGTGTCTTCATCTGGTTCAGGTATGAATAACGGTCACTTCTTTGACCCCTTCTTCCCCGCAGAGGGCTTCTTGCAGTACTTGGCCTCAAGATCTGAGATGAGCGAGTTGAATCCTCTCTCTTTGGACTTCTGTCTTTGCTGCAGGGACAGATTAAAGAAAAAAGGTCAACAAATAAAAAACATCACCTTAAATGTAAAATATATTATTTGTCAAACCATCATCACCCAGAGCAGGTTAGATTCTTTCAGTCACTCAGATTTGAATCTTCATCGTCTGAACTTCTGCATATTGAACCTGTGTTGTGGTGCATGAAACTGTTTTTGTCTGCTCGCTAAGCTAACGCTAGCCTGTTACGCTACTAGGGACAGTATAATGGACGAAGATCAGCTCAACTGCCTCAGATTTGAGTCCATCAGTGAAGCCTCAGTGAACTACAACTGAACATGTGCTGTGAAGCTGTTTTTTGGCCAGCTTGCTAAGCTAACGTAGCCTCTGGTGCTCACAAGCACAATGGCTTATAAAGCTGTAGCATGCTAAGCTACTGCTACCTGCTACTCAGACAGTTCTAGACACTTTTTTGACAGGTGTGGAATAAAAATTTGACAGTCAATTTAAAATACCATTTATTCATCTTATCTAACTTATGTCAAACATTAAGTCAGCAATGTTAGGGCTTGTTCTTTGTAATTGTAAGTATTGTAATCATGTGATTAGCATATTATAGTATATCAGGATATGATTGGTTCAAGCCCATTTTTGACATACAAAACTAAGGGTGCTATTTACTGCCCCACCAAACGCTTTTTTCAGAGAAAGTGTGTTTTCAATGGTAAAATTTGAACTCTGTGCTACAGGAGCACATTTGATACAAATATCATTGTATACAACCATAATAAAACATCCAAGAGGAGTGTAAAAGCCATATTTGAGTGCAGCGCCAGATTTCATGCGATTTATATGAAATCCAGCCCAACTTAACCCCTGCTTTTATCTAATTAAATCAATAAAAATGGCCTCCATAGTGTGAAGAGAATCTGTAAAATTCAGTTTTTTCCTTCATTTTGGGGTGTTTTCGCATGTTTTAAAGTCTCGTTTGACCTCGAACAGTTCTGCGCTTTAAGAACACGTCATGAATCTGACGTGACCTGACGTTTATCTTTATCTAAACCTTTAAGAACAAATTTAAGAGGAAACTTAGGAAGATATTAGTGAATAAAACCCATTTTTCTCTTCTCCTGAAAACTTTCAGAATACAAGTTTTTCTAGTACAGTTCCATGAAAAAGTCAGAGACCATCCTTCCATTCGTTTAATTTCCAATCAAAATGACTTTTAAGTGTAAGTTATTAATTTCCCAGCATCAGAAAATAAACAGATACATCATATTTAATGGGCTTTTTGACTGTAAATAAACAAAAAGGTGGTCTTACTTTTGCACAGGACTGTGTTTGTATCTCAGGTCAACAGATATATACGGGATGCACTTTAGTGCCAAGTCTAAATTTTGTGTCACACGAACACCTGCTAATGGGGTTTGTATTCATTTCACCTGGATCATGGCCACCAGACTGTCCTCAGCGTCCAGCCCCATCTCCTTTCGCATCTCTTCGGCCTCCTGCTGCTCCTTCTTTGCCTGGACAACACAGACCAATGATGTTAACTCTACACAAACACATAAACAATAACAGAGCTGTGTTGGCCTGCGTTGCAGCTGCAAATCACTGACCTTCCTCTTGCGGTTGGCCTTCTTCTTGGCGCTCTCGTGTGTGAAGGCTTTGTAAGCAGGTACATCTTTAGCGTCAACGGCGCGCTGCAGGATGTCCCGCACGCGAGGCTCGTCTTCATGACTACAGCACAGCGCCGACTCCATGATTTGATCCACGTCTCCTTCGTGAAGCAGGTAGAGCCTCTTCAGGTCCTGCAGCTCCTCCTCTGAGTCTTTATACTGCTTCTCAAAGTCCAGGATGTCCTGCAGCGTGATCTGACAACCAGACACACAGGGTATTTTTAAACATTTAAAAAAGTATGAGTGATCATTTTTCTTGGGTTTATCTTTCAAGTTTCTTAAGTAATAGATAGATCTCTTAACCTGCCATACATGATAAACAACTTCCAACTCTGATCCATCAAAAAGCTTTAATTTAGGCACCTCTGACTATAAAAAGGATTTTGCCTCGACTGAAGGAAATATTTCTTCTATACTGGTAATCCATTATGCCTAAAGATAAAATGACTTAAATACAGTACTGGTAAAAATGAATGTTGAAACAGTCTGTGGAAATATAACACTGCATTGCAATCTTTTCTGAGCATCTCTCATTTACCATCTTGCATGGATTAAAACTAGGCATCGCGGTGTATCCAATCAGAGTAAAGTGGGCAGGACCGGCAGGGCTTTTGCTAATGGCTGGGCTTATCAATTCTAGGGGATTTTAAAAACTTACTCTGTTAGAGAGTGATGTGGCCAAACCAGTCTGTGTAGTATAATAAATACACTTCCAGACTGAAACTGAAACGGAATTTCTACCTCATAATCAAAAATCAAACCTGAAATTAATATGTATTGCTCATCTTTGCAAAGGCTGCCACCACTACTGGAAGGAAGTACCTTAGTAGGTTATCTTACCTTTGGAAACAGCCGTCTCCAGTGCTCTTCCCAGTCGCGGTCTTGACTGAGGGAGTCTGACTCTTCGTCCACAACACCCTGTTCATCATAGACGGCTCTTTGCTCCTTGTCGCTTAACACGGCGTAGACCTTTCCTAGTATCTGTTGGCAAAACCAATAAGTGATTTAGACAGCTGTACCGTCACAAGTGATCTATAAATACTCTGCCCATAAATGTGTTTTGTCTTGGCTACTGTGGCAAACCTGGACAGGCTTTACAGAACTCTGGTGAAAATCCCATTTTCCCCTCAGTTTATCAAAATAGACATTTACAGTGTGTTTTCGTCTGCGATACAGATGGCCTGAACAAATCAATATACTCTAGTAATACAGTGGTATTCATTACTCGTGCAGTGGTGCTGGGCTACTGAAATAAATGTGCTGATTTTACCTGAAACTTGGTGGTGGCGTGCTGGTCTTCGCTGGCTCTGTCAGGATGCACCTGCAGGGAGAGTTTGTAGTAGCCACGTCGCACCTCAGCATCCGTCGCCCCCTTTGGGACCCCCAGCACCTCATACAGGTTGGAGGTGTTGAAGAACTGCTCACACTGCTCCAACAAACCCATGACTGCTGGAGAGAGGATCATATGTGAACACCTGCTGCTTGATATTTCAGCTCCTCCAACTTTAAATACATCAATATCACAAAGCTGTCTTTTTCTAAACAGTGTAAACAGAGAACCGCCAACGGTTCTAAGCTTAAGGCGTACAGTCTACACACTTTAAAAGATGGCCCTGAAGGGTCCCTCAGTAAACGCAATGGTTCTATATAGAACCTTGACTTCTGTATGGAGCCATTACACACTTAAACGGTTCTTCAGATTTATGGAGAATGTGTTGTATATGGTTCTATATAGAAACTTTTTGAAAATGGCTGTATGTAGAACCAATAAGGGTTCTGTTATGATGTCAAGCTTGTAACAACAGAAAAACCAATGTCAAAAAGGTTCTATATAGACTCATATACAGCACATTCTCCATCAATATGAACTTCATCTTGAAATGGTTATATATGGCAGGCATGGTTCTAAATAGAACCATACCCTTTACTAAAGAACCTTCAAAGAACCATCTTTAAGAATACAGCTTTGTAGTTTGATTTTATTCTCTTTATATAAAGATTGTGCTCTTATAAACAACCTAGAAACACAAACTCCCCCCAAAAAAGTGGACTATGCTCTTAAAAAGCTGGTTCTTCAATAGTTCTATATTTAAGAAAATGGTTCTATGACATGGTTCTAGAACCATGACATTTATATAGAGCCATTTCATGCTTAAATGGTTCTTCAGATTGATGGAGAATGTATTGTATATGGTTCTACATAGAAACTTTTTGAAAATGGTTCTACGTAGCACTAAAAAGGGTTCTGTTGTTTCGATGTCAAACCTGTAACAACAGAAAAAGCAGCGTCAAAAAGGTTCCATATAGAACCGCATATAACATAACAGAAGAACCGTTTTGTCGCTATGTAGAACCATTTCCTTTACTAAAGAACCCCTGAAGAACCATCTGTTTAGGTGTGTGCTTTTCATTGTTTTGGCTGTATTAATCTGAACATGACTGAAGGGAGCCGAAAGGAGAAGTTAGGGGGCTTCAGCTCAGCCAGAACACAGTTTACTAAGCTGACTGAAGACAGAATGAAGAGCCTCGCCACCAACCACCCACACAAAACCCCAATACCCTCAGCACTCCTCTCCTCTCCTCTTTTACTCTCTCTCCAAACCTGGCTTTTTGTTAGAGCCTTCGGTTCCACCTTAAATGTCTGTAACTGCTGCACTATTTAAGGTGGAACGGAAAATTCGAATAACATTCATTTTCAGCGTCGGCACTACAGTTATCAACACACAGGCCGAGTTAAACACCATCAGACACATCAAACACAACAGCTGGATTAAAGACTCACTCCGTTTATCTGTTTCTCTCCGTTTATCTCTCCGTTTATCTCTCCGTTTATCTGTTTCTCTCCGTTTATCTCTCCGTTTATCTCTCCGTTTCTCTCTCTGTTTCTCTCTCTGTTTCTCTCTCCGTTTCTCCGTGTTTCTCTCTCTTCAGCTGCTCCGCACTTTGCCGCCTTCTGCTCTTCTTCTCCCGGTGAGATTTCTGATGTGTTGTGCGCGTTAGCGCCCCCTGCAGGCGGACTGATGCTCAGTACGTTTTCTAACTGGAGATCTGTCGATGGTCATTCAGTCATTCATTCATTCATTCATTCATTCATTCAGTCACTCACTCAATCATTCATTCATTCATCCATTCACCCCATAGCGTTATGATAATCTGTTCGTTTGCGGATGTTGTTCATTTTGCTGTTGTTTTGTGAATGTAGTTGTGTGGGGTTCATTTGCTGATGGTAAAACTTTGTGGGTTTAATTTTTTACTGTTGCTTTTGAATTTGAGATTTTTTTTGACATTGCTAAATTTGTGGGGCTAATCTATGGATTTTTTGTGCTGTGGAGCTACATTGTGAGCATTATTAATTTGTGGGGCTAATTTAAAGATTACACAAATTCTGTGAGGCTAATTTAAAGACTGCTCCAATTTTGTGAGGCTAATTTAAAAAGACTGCTCTAATTTTGTGGGCTCTAATTTCGTGAGGCTAATTTAAAGACTGCTCTAATTTTGTGGGGCTAATTTAAAGACTGCTCTAATTTTGTGGGGCTAATTTAAAGACTGCTCTAATTTTGTGAGGCTAATTTAAAGACTGCTCCAATTTTGTGAGGCTAATTTAAAGACTGCTCCAGTTTTGTGGGGCTATTTTAAAGACTGCTCTAATTTTGTGAGGCTATTTTAAAGACTGCTCTAATTTTGTGGGGCTATTTTAAAGACTGCTCTAATTTTGTGAGGCTATTTTAAAGACTGCTCTAATTTTGTGGGGCTAATTTAAAGACTGCTCTAATTTTGTGGGGCTAATTTAAAGACTGCTCTAATTTTGTGGGGCTATTTTAAAGACTGCTCTAATTTTGTGAGGCTATTTTAAAGACTGCTCTAATTTTGTGGGGCTATTTTAAAGACTGCTCTAATTTCGTGAGGCTATTTTAAAGACTGCTCTAATTTTGTGAGGCTAATTTAAAGACTGCTCTAATTTTATGGGGCTAATTTAAAGACTGCTCTAGTTTTGTGGGGCTAATTTAAAGACTGCTCTAATTTTGTGAGGCTACTTTAAAGACTGTGCTAATTTGGAGGAGCTATTTTTGGAACATTGCTAGTTTTGTGAATTTTGTTATTTTCTCAGAAACTTTATGATTTGTGGACGTGGCTGAAAAATCCCCGACACAGAAATAATACATTACATCATAGCCTCGTTTAATCGAAAATAATACCTGTGTATTAGGCAGTTTTTTCCCAGGTCATAAATGCCCATTAAATATATGCTAAAAGATAAACATAAGAGGGCAGATTTTGAGCGTAAAATCTGTTTAAAATTTGTATTTCTTCCAAAAGTTTCTGTTTCCTGTTATCAGACTTTTATCTGAGTGAGCTTTTATTTTGACATGGTGAACCGGATGAGAAGCTCCCGCTCCTTCTGTGTGTCCTGCGGTGTGTTTGCTGACCGCTCTGCTGTTTGTGGATCTTTATGATCGATCTGATTGACTGATTAAAACTGATCGCTGTTATCTGATTGTTTGACCGATCGCTCGTGCCGATGCCTGTGCTTGCGCTGCACGCGCACCTGGCGGCGGTGCTGGAGGCGCTGATCCGCGCGGCGGTGGCGGAGATGAGCGTGCTGCTGCTGCGGGACGAGCACGAGACAACAACAACAACAACAGCAGCAAACAATCAAACAACATCAGCAGTAGAGAACGAGGAGAGACTGGTAGGCGAAGATGATCCTCCTCTCCTCATTAATATTCATATTTACACCGGGCAGGCATAACATTATGACCACCTCCTTGTTTCTACGCTCATTGTCCATTTTATCAGCTCCACTTACTATATAGGTGCACTTTGTAGTTCTACAGTTACAGACTGTAGTCCATCTGTTTCTCTGCATACTTTGTTACCCTGTTCTTCAGTGGTCAGGACCCCCATGGACCCTCACAGAGCAGGTACTATTGGGGTGGTGGATCATTCTCAGCTATGCAGTAACACTGACGTGGTGGTGGTGTGTTAGTGTGTGTTGCGCTGGTCTGAGTAGATCAGACACAGCAGTGCTGCTGGAGTTTTTAAACACCTCAGCGTCACTGCTGGACTGAGAATAGTCCACCAACCAACCAACCGACCGCTGATGAAGGACTAGAGGATGACCAACACAAACTGTGCTGCAGCAGATGAGCTATCGTCTCTGACTTTACATCTACAAGGTGGATCAACAAGGTAGCAGTGTCTAATAGAGTGGACAGTGAGTGGACACAGTGTTTAAAAACTCCAGCAGCACTGCTGTGTCTGATCCACTCGAACAAGCACAACACACACTAACACACCACCACCACGTCAGTGTTACTGCAGTGCTGAGAATGATCCACCACCCAAATAGTACCTGCTCTGTGAGGGTCCATGGGGGTCCTGACCACTGAAGAACAAGGTAAAAGGGGGCTAACAAAGTATGCAGAGAAACAGATGGACTACAGTCTGTAACTGTAGAACTACAAAGTGTGTGTATGTGTATATATATATATGTATATATGAGTATAAATATATGTATCTGTTCTTGTAGAAAAAGTTTGCATCAGTCATGGAAGTGTTGGGCAACGAGGCTCTGGGCAAAATCATCAAACTGGTGGACGAGACCAAGTTTCTGCTGGACCTGGAGTGCAAGACGTTTTCAGGGAAACGAGCAAAGCAGCCGGGGAGCATCCTGAACATCCTCTCAGTCGGAGGGCTGGGTAAGGGCTCACTGCGAAGGTTACCCAGTACGGCTGAAAGAATCATTTTTATATCAAAATCACAATTTGAAAGAGTGCAGATTTCAGATCGTGAGAGCAATCATAGCCTACAAGATCAACAACATTACCCTGACTGTAAGGGGGGACGTTTAACCTAATAACATGGATCAGAAGCAACCAAACACCCCTGTGTTGTGACATCACAGCCACACTAACTGAAAGTCTAGCACACTACGTTCAGTGTTAAGTCCTCAGGCCAGTAAAAGTGGATATTCTCATCCTTGCTGCCAAATAACAGGCCTTAATTTATACAAAATAATCCCAGTTTAGACTGCGATCGCGATATTTGTCAGAAAAAAAACTTTATTTCCTAAAATTATTCAGCCTTGTTGCTCAGAGTGCAGTGGTTTTTGTATAGTGTTGAAAAAGAGAATGGCAGGAGGTCCCAGAGTCAGTTCTGGGGACCCCATGCACATTTCTGAGTTTTCTCTACTCTAAGGCTCTGTCCCCACAGGCCTAAACGGTGCCCTAAGCCCTGCGGTCCTCCTTAAGAACTGCACTTTGGTGGCATCAGCAGTGTTCTTATGTAGAGGACCAGTGACCTCAATGATGCTGGGTTTAAAAATGTGTATTAGGTTCAGACTCATGCATCATACAGGCCATTTAAGCAAGTACTATACATACGATTACCCAAGATGGTGCACGCCTGTTTAAGTCAATGGGGCGAAAAGGGCTGCAGTTTCTGTTTGTCTTGCATTATCCACTTTGCCCCGGGGCAACAGCAGCAGACCGGGCAGGAAAATCTGGCTGAACTGATCTAAAACATTAAAATCAGCTTAGAAAATGAGGGTTTAGCCTCCAAGTAGTCATCAAATTCTAGCAGTCCCCAAAAAGCTAGCTGTGATCTTGGAGTGAGGAAAAGTAATCTTTTGCTTTTTGAATCCTCTCTGATTCAAGGATGGTTTGCAGTGAAACAATGTAATTGGCTGAACTTGTTTTTTTAGTGTTTGGAAACAGTCTGGAACTGTAAAACTGTATGGCCGATACGCCCCTCGATCTTTTCTGACCATCTCTGATTTTGCTGCTGTTGATTCAAAACCTCGTATCAGCAAATTGGTAACTTTACAGGAGAAGGAAAAAACATACTTTTAATGTAAGTCAATGGAACCAGAGTCATTTTGCGATGATTCTTTTGGTCCATTCGTCATGAAATTTCCATACAATGTAAAGAACAACAGGTATTTTCACCTTATGTCAAACTGAAAATTGACAAAAACGGAGATACAAGGTTTTGATCCGGCAGCAGTGATTTACTGTCTTTCATTGAGTCCACTGTAGTGGCTCAAAACTAGGCAGCCTTTCAGATTGAAGCGGGCAGCGAGGGGGGCTATGAAATGACTGGGCTTTGTTTCTGATTTGAAGTTGTGAATTTTGGGGCTTATTTTGTTGGGTTTTCAGAAGTTGTATGAGCCAGTCTGTGTGGTGCACAGTTAGAGTAGAATCAAGACACCCAAACTGAGCTCCTATGCTTGCTTATTGTTCTTGTTCTCTGAAGAGTTTAATATAATCTTAGTCGTCTATATTTTCTTATGATTTGATCTCAGAGGAGGAACATTCCTATGACGGATGTGGAAGAAACTCTGAGACGAGAACACGAAACGAGGTAAGCTGCCGCAGCAGTAAATGATATTTATGGCAGGTATTTCCTACGAGAATCGGGCAGTTTTAATACTCCTATGTGCTTCTTAGGACACTCTGAGTTATTATATAGACACAATAACTCAGACTCCAGAAATGAGAAGTGATTATGACTGAAGAACATTCAGAGAAGAAATATAGCCAAAAGAAAAAAAAAATATATTTATTGCAGGTGGTCTTTATGAAGGTAAACTGTTTATGTAGTACCTTGATTTTTATGCTGCTGCCCAATAAAGCATCACTAAAGTAAACGTTTTATTCTGTCAGGCTGCAGACGCAGAGGATTCTGAGCGTCCCGAGTCTCCGTTAACCCTGGCTGTGACAATCAAAGATGAATTTGGAAACATTGACTTGAAGTCCATTATTGCGGGTAAGTTTGGGATGGGGGGCGGGCGATATGGCAAAAATATTATATCACGGTACTTCACAATATGCATCGTGGTGTTTTTCTGAGATTTAACTAATTAGAACAGACAAAATAGAACCTGCAGTGCTGCATATAAAAAAAAATTCAGTGTTTTACAAACTGCACTGCACTAAATCCAATGAAACAGGCCTAATTATGCTCACAGATAGTTGGCCAGATATCCACGATATGCTCAGAAAAGTGTATTGTGACATAATTTACCACAATAAAAATAAAATACTGTCTCGTTGCCCACCCCTAGTCTGTAAAGGTTTTGCAGTCTTGCATTCTATTGAATCATTATGAGTGCCATCTGTAAAAGTCTCTTTAATTCAGAGTGGGTGCAAAACAAAAACATCACTCTAGAAAACATGTTTCCACTGCTCCAGAGTCCAGTGGTGGCATTTTTTTACACCACTCCAGCCGATGCTTGGCATTGCACATAGCGATCTTTGGCTTGTATGCAGCTGCTCAGCTATGGAAACCCATTTTATGGAGCTTCCAATGTGCAGTTCTGTAATGAGTGATGCAACAGCGGATAGGTGAATGTTATGCACTTCAGCATCCAGCTACCCCCCCTTTGTGAGTTTGCGTGGTCTACTGCTTCATACCTGACTGACTTGTGACAAAAGTGCATATATATATATATATATATATATATATATATATGCACATACATATAAGGGCCTTTGAGTTGAGTTCATGACTGAATGGTTGATTCTATGCATTCAGAGTGGCTAAAGACTAAACAGCTTTTTGAAGAACAGTGATGGTCATTCAAACCCTACGACTCTATTATTTTTCTGTATTTGATTACAGGTAACTTAGAGCTGGCTTCAGGCGAAGGGAGACCCCCAGAAGAGGGCGGTGAGGGTGGTCAGGACACCATAAGCTTTGGCGGAAGGCGAGCTTTCATATGCACAGAATGTGGGAGAAGTTTCTCCACCCTGAGCAACCTCAGATCACACCAGCGCATCCACACGGGCGAGAAACCCTTCGGCTGCGTGCTCTGCGGCAAGGCCTTCGCTCACAAGCAGAGCCTCGTGGACCACCACCGCGTGCATACGGGGGAAAAGCCCTTCCTTTGTAAAGTCTGCGGCAAATGCTTCGGAAAGGCGGCCCACCTCAAGACGCACGAGATAATCCACACCGGAGAGAAGCCGTTCAGCTGCATCGAGTGCGGAAAGAAGTTCAACATCGCTCAGAACCTGGCCAGGCACCAGCAGACGCACACCGGCGAGAAGAGCTTCACCTGCTCCATCTGCCACAAAAGCTTCACGCGCGCCAAGACGCTGATCACCCACCAGCTGATCCACACGGGCCAGAAGCCTCACTCCTGCATGGCGTGTGGGAAGGCCTTCCGGCACGCGGTCAACCTGCGCAACCACGAGCGCATTCACACGGACGCGCGGCCGTACGCCTGCGACTTGTGCGGCAAGACCTTCCGCCAGGCGGTCAACCTCAAAATCCACAAGCGGATTCATACCGGAGAGAAGCCGTTCACGTGCAAGGAGTGCGGCAAGAGCTTCAGCCAGCAGAGCAGCCTCATTTCTCACGGCCGCACGCATTCGGACGTCAAGCCGTTCGGCTGCAGTTACTGCGACAAGTGGTTCAACAACACCAACAGCCTGAAGCTGCACGAGAGGATCCACACCGGCGAGAAGCCGTACAGCTGCGAGTACTGCGGCAAATGCTTCAGCCAGGGGAGCCACCTGCGCACGCACAAGCGCCACGTCCACGGAGGCGGGAAGCAGTACATATGTGACAAATGCGGAAAGCGCTACGCGGACCCACGCAATCTGAAGCTGCACAAGTGCGTGTACGCCTGAATGTGGCCCAGTTTGGTGTGGAAGCCTAGAAGAGTCACAGGCTGAGGCTGAGTTTACTTCATGTGCCACGGGTTTTGCGATGTAGAAACCCTTAAAGGGGAACCATTTTTTTTTAAATGTTGGCGTAATTTAATTACTAAGATGTAAACAGTCATTCAGAGTGGTTTGGTGTGAAATGCTCTGTTCTAGAGAAACTTTGCTAGAATCACAGTGGAGGTGATAGGAACCAGACGTCTGAAGCATTTAAAGGCATTTAATGAATACACTGCCTGATGCTTGAGAGAGTTTTGAGACATTTTGGCCCAGAATGCATTTTTAAAATGCAATTAGTGCTACAGTTGTTCACTGAAGCTTCGTCAGAACAGTTATACACCAGTGTACCTTCAGCCTAACATGGCCACTAGAGCAGGCGCTGAGCTTATTTCCTCTCGTACCACCAGTGAATCCGCCTTGAGGCCTTGTCTGCGCAACAAGCTGTGGACCAGCTGGTACTGAAGCGTTAATGACTAATATTTTCCAAATTCCAGCAGTGTCTGATGGTCATATGGGGCAAATGACTTGACACAGTATTCGAATTTCCTGTTCCACCTTAAATAGTGCAACACTCACAGACAAGTGACAAAGTACAAATAATGCCAGAATGCAGCTGGTGCTCTATTTAAGGTGGAACGAAAAGTTCTAACAAAAAGCTTTCAAATAAGAACCCAACTTCAGCTTTTCAATAACTGACGTGAAGCAGCATTTAGCAGTGTTTTAGCTGGGCTTGTAGGGCTCGAGTTAGAAAGGAATATTGATATAAATATAGTTTTTTTTTTTGTATATTGTTCAGTTTTGTCTTTAATATTTGAGACAATAAATAAGCCACTGTTAACAAACATAACAAAATTAGGTTTACCAGAACCTGTCAAAAATTTTAATATACCAGGATATACATTTTTGACCATGGTGCCCAAAATAGTCCCCAATATAAATTTATTTTTCCAAATTTATAACGTTTTTACCATCATCAACACAACATATATAAACTCACGAAGTTATTAGATGAAGTGGTTATGAATAGAGAAGTTTTGGCTTAAAATCTAGGTTGTTCTAAGGCAAAATAGTCCCCAAAGAAATTTTTTTTTCCAGATTGACGACTATTTTACCATCATCACCATCCCATATATAAACATGTGCAGGTTCACTGATAGTAAATAAAATGGCTATATTTTTGTGTTGTTGTCATGGTGACCCCTGGTTCCATTCACCACCACTGTAAAGAAATCAGAGCCTATACTTTTCTGTTAATCAAACCACTCAGAATGACTTTGTTTACATCTCAGTGACTGAATTACACAGACAACTTTGAAAAATTGGTCAAAGTCTCCTTAAAATTGTATCACAGCTGGACGTTGCTGCCCTGGACTGAGTTCCACCATGCTGTCTGTCATGGTGTAGCGTTCTGCACTGCTGCTGTTAGTGTCCAATACAGATAAGAAGACAAGGTATTTCTCACAGGCATTAATAATGCTTAGGCTGTCAATAGCAAACCAGTGAACATGATATTTTGATGAGATTTCTGATTTGTATCATTCTTTGGCAGAACCATCCAAAGAGCTATTTTTGCTATAGTTTAAAAAGGCTGAAGATATACACAGTACCTTTCGGTGTACCTCCACACCGGCCCAGCTGGTAAAAGCAGCACAAAAGATTCCACGCTTGTCTGTTATGGCAGCTTTCGAGGCCAAAGCAAAGCTTTTGTAATGATGTAGAAAGCTGTTGTGTTCTGCTCACATGATCTATCTTTTGTAAAAGAATTTGGGAATGCCTCCCAACTCAGGCTGATTCTGGTTGTGTGACTTTTCACACGAGTCCTGCTTCTTTTTCTCCTTCTTCTTGTTTCTTTTTTTTTATTATTATTATTTCAATAAATATGATACACTGATGGTTTGGTTCTCTCATTTTTACTGACCACCCACCACACATTCAGTGTTTGGTCTAATACAGTGGCCTCATCTCATCCTCCTGGATAGAGTTCTACCTTGTTGCCGGTTTCACTTCCAAGCTAAATCGAAGGCCCTGTCCTAAAATAGGTTCTCCTCAAAGATTACACTTTAGTGACCTTGAGGGTGCTAGATCATGGTCTCATATGTCCCACCTCAAATACCCCCACAATAATAATAATAAAAAAAAAAAATACAAACTGTAAAGCAGCACTATGTACGTTTTGGGGATTTGGCGACCTCTCTGGTAGAAACGTGCAACTGCATGCAACATTTCAGGACTTTGGCCCTGTTTCTTGAGCAGGTGAAACTGCTGATTGAAATTAAAAGAGAACTCAGTCAAAACTTGGTGAAGGATGCGTCTTCAGAGGATGTGAATAAGTATAATGTTGATTTTGAGATTATTTGAGACCTAAACATCGAGCCGGACCTTCTTTTTGAGCCATGTGTGTCATGTTAATGCATAAAAACGTACGACGTGGTGTGAAAAACTCCGGGCTCCATGTCTCTGACTTGGTGATGATTATTTCAGGCTGTACAAGGCGAGCACACACTTACCGTATTTCATTAATGATACTTTACATAACGATTCTTTCAGTTTTAACAAGAAGTGCAGCTGGAAAAGTGCTGGAAAAAGGGTAAACAAAGTTTGCAATTCCTTATTATATCCTCTACAGTTATATTTCTGCACTTTTTGGCCTTTCAGGGGCTTTTAATGATTTAAAAAATGTATTTTAGCTCACAAATGATTATCATCTCCCCCGCTTTGGTGGTCAGACAGTTGTCAGATCACCCCCTCCACCAATTTACAGGCATACAAGACCGGACTCAGTCTCTTTGAACGGGGACACACCTATAAAACCCACATTAAGGGTTTCAAAAACACTTGAAAGCAATGATAAAATCTGACAAAAGCGGCATAAAAAGCTAGTAGCGTTTGTCCCAAATAATGCAAAAAACCCCACATTTTTCCAGCTTGTTTTTGCTGCTACACATGCGTATATCTTCATGGCGTGGGGGAGCTTTTTTGGGTGTTAACTATTTATGCTGTTTTTCCCAGGTTTTACTAATTATTTCCAATATGTATCTGAAACTTTAAAATGGCTTTTGGCTTCAGTGTTTTAGGCCTACCTGTGCAAAGAGAAGGAGTCTGGTCTTGAATGACTGGGAATAACTGCCCGGCGGTGTTGCCAGGAAGGCCGTTGAGTGGACAGACTTTCCTAAAATGACTTTTGTTATAAGCTTTTCCATTTATGTTTCAAGCAATGACCTGTCTCCTCCTTTATAACATCTCTGATGTGGTCCTCACCAATGGCTACATGGAGGGCACTCGTGAGTGACCCTTTGGACGCCAAAATTAAGAGTAGGAGCTGCCTAGTACAGCTGTGGGGAACTCAGGTCCTACTCACCCCTTGGAAGACATCTGGCCATTGTTGGTAAAAGTTGAATAAAAATTCACTCTATTAACCACAGAGGAAGAACCACATATGCGCATGACCAACCTGGAAGACATTAAGCGGCAGGTCTCCTCACTAGAAATTCAGGATGTGGCCACTAGAGGGCGCCGCTGTGTGTTGTATATCTTAATGCTGCCGCTAGAGGGCGCCGCTGTGTGTTGTATATCTTAATGCTGCTGCTAGAGGGCGCCGCTGTGTGTTGTATATCTTAATGCTGCCGCTAGAGGGCGCTGCTGTATGTTATATCTTAATGCTGCCGTTAGAGGGCCCTGCTGTGTGTTGTATGTCTTACTGCTGCCGCTAGAGGGCGCTGCTGTATGTTATATCTTAATGCTGCCGCTAGAGGGCGCTGCTGTATGTTATATCTTAATGCTGCCGTTAGAGGGCGCCGCTGTGTGCTGTATATCTTAATGCTGCCGCTAGAGGGTGCCGCTGTGTGCTGTATATCTTAATGCTGCCGCTAGAGGGCGCCGCTGTGTGTTGTATATCTTAATGCTGCCGCTAGAGGGCGCCGCTGTGTGTTGTGTATCTTAATGCTGCCGCTAGAGGGCGCCGCTGTGTGTTGTATATCGTAATGCTGCCGCTAGAGAGCGCCGCTGTGTGTTGTATATCTTAACGCTGCCGCTTAGAGGGCGCCGCTGTGTGTTGTATATCTTACTGCTGCCGCTAGAGGGCGCCGCTGTGTGTTGTATATCTTAATGCTGCCGCTAGAGGGCGCCGCTGTGTGTTGTATATCGTAATGCTGCCGCTAGAGGGCGCCGCTGTGTGTTGTATATCTTAATGCTGCCGTTAGAGGGCGCCGCTGTGTGTTGTATATCTTAATGCTGCCGCTAGAGGGCGCTGCTGTGTGTTGTATATCGTAATGCTGCCGCTAGAGGGCGCCGCTGTGTGTTGTATATCGTAATGCTGCCGCTAGAGGGCGCCGCTGTGTGTTGTATATCTTAATGCTGCCGCTAGAGGGCGCCGCTGTGTGTTGTATATCTTAATGCTGCCGCTAGAGGGCGCTGCTGTGTGTGTTGTGTTTTATCTGTATCAGCTGTGATTCGGTTTCAGCAGCTGCCGCTTCGGTCTTCGCTAACATGGCTGTTTATTGATTAATGTTGACAAATATTGTCGATTACTGGGTGTCGTGTCGGTGTTTATCCCGGATCCGGGTTAAAATCAGATGTTTTTGACCGGAGGAGAGCGCGGAGTGTGAGTGAGTGAGCAGCGAGGACTCGCCGGGTAGCGGCGCGGAGTATTGCTGGGAGCGCAGCCGGGCTCGGGCTCGCTGTCGGCGGTGTGAGGGAGAGGCTGCGCTCGGTCTGCGGTTAGCTCCGGAGCTAAGGCGGTTTAGCAGCGTCACCTTCACTGCAGATACGCTGATCAGCAGGTCTGCCCCGTCCTCTCTGCTGTTTTTTACGCAGTATTACAGGGAATGAGTCACGTACTGTTCTCTATCAGAAGCTGTAACGCCTGTCTTACTTTCCAGGATTTATTGGAAGTCTCGCTGCTGCCGCTGTGGCTCTGATTCGATCAGTTGATGGACTGAGTTAAGGTAAGAGTGCTTAAAGGGAAACTCCATCGACGTTTCAAAATATCTGTTTAATTCAGTGGTTATATGTAAACAAAGTCATTCAGAGTGGTTTGACGGGAAACGGTAGATTTGCTGAGAAACTTACAGACAAAGATTTCTCTACAGTGGCAGTGATGGGAACCGGAGAGAGCTGGCTATGACAACAACACAGATATAGCCATTTTATTTACTATCCAAAACCACCTATATGGGTCTTCTGAGGTTTTATATGTAACTTTGATGATGGTAAAAGAGTGGTCAACCTGAAAAAAAAAACAAAAAACAAAAAAAAAACAAGTTGTCTTTGTGGACTACTTTGCCTTAGAACACCCTTCATGTATCCCTCCGCCATAAATGGGTTAAATGCATTTTAAGCTAAAAGTTTACCATTCGTAACCATGCAATAACTTTCTGTGAGGGAGCTTTTAGAGGTGGACGTCTGGTTCCTATCACCACCACTGTGAACAAGTCTGACTCTTTGTTTACATCTTAACCATTTTATTATGCAGACATTTTGGAAAACTGGTGGAGTTCCCCTTCAGCTCTGAAACTATACAGAAATGCTGGATCTTCAGTTTGCCTGCCTGAAATGTTTCACTCAGCTTAAAACTGACCGCTCAGGCCTTTTTTAAGCTGGGAAATACATGATTAGCAGTAAGGTTGGTCTGTAAGGGTCATCGGGCTGCAGTGGCCTGTTTGTGTTTCTGAATGAACGTTGGATTAAATCACTCGTTCTCCTCATCGTTAAAGGTGCACTCTGGAAAATTTTTAAAAGTTAGCCACTGCTTCATCTACTGAAAAACATGCTTAGTCATGTCCAAAAGTCATATCTCAGTGATTTCTGGAGTGAGATATTCAAGTTTAAACTCCTTTCTGATGATGCGTCTCGAAGGTGGCAGCTGCTTTGGAGTGGCTGCTTGGGGGCAGGTTGTTTTGAAAGTAGGTAGATCACCGATGGCTATCATTACTGCTAGGAAGCTGAATAACACATCTATATTTATTTGCCCCTGATTCTGTATGCTTGTATGACTCGATTGCATAATGCATTCTGGGAATTGGAGTGAGAAAGCACTGATGGATGGATAAACGCAAAAAGGATGAAAAACTCATGACTCAAACTGATGGAGCTGATACAGAATCTAACCTAGCATGACATTTAACACATTGAATGCTAGTGCTCAAGCCGGAATGCCGGAGCTGCTCCACGGAAAAAGGGAAAATACCCAGCTTCGTCGGATTCTGCGTGGGTCGTACTCTTTCTCTGCCAGCCTGATTTGTACGACACTTCTTCTGTGGGATATGAGGGTCAGCGCGGTGCTGTGAAGGTCAGAAACGTCCATTCAGTGCAGCCGTGACGTGGAGATCTGGTACGGTCTGTCGAATCCTGTTGGTTTGTGAGCCGTGCCGTCTACGAGGCCTGCCCGTAACGGGCCGCTGATCTCTGCACTCTCGCTCCGGTGTGTCTTTAACAGTCCTGAAGGGATTAAAGCGCTTTCTCCACGCCTGCTAACAAGATTAGTGAGCGGCTACTTAGGCTGTCAGGGAGGAAGCTCTGCCTGTGCTTCACATGTGAGCCAGGAGTGGACAGTGAGATGATGTCATTCATCTCAATAACAATCACATATCAAGATATGCTTTTTTTTGAGGACTTATAGAAAACAGAGCAACTGTATGAGGCAGATTTACACCAGTTATACGACCTGTTAACAACAGCCAGCTTATAATGACTGTATAAACTGTATAATAACAAAAAGCAGATGGCAGCCCGTTATGACATCATCCTATTTTATTATTTATTTTTACCAATAAGTTCTCTTTCAGTTATTCTTTTTGAGCAAATCTTGTTGTTTTAGTCTTTGTTAAATGTATCACTGCTGCTTTTTTGGTCTCTTTCTGTTCCAAACTTTAGAATAACTAATTTTTTATGTATTATTTTTTCATGAAAATGTCTTTTATGCCACATTGTTAGTCAGTTTTAGGCTCATTCTGACAAAAAATACAAAGACTGCAATGTTTTATTTTTGGTTTATAGAAACAAGCAGTGATTTTTAGTCACATTTCCCAATTTAAGTGACAAAATTCTTATTATTGCCATAAAATTGAACTTTTACATATTAGATGAATCTGAAATTAATGATATTTTCCCTCACATTTTCTTTTTGTAGGCCGTCTGCTGTTTTCAGATGTATTCTAAAGCATATACATTTTTCTACTCATTACCGCAACAAACCGACAGCCATCAAGGTTTTCTTTTGACGTCTTGTTGTTTTGGTTATAAGTTAAACAGCTCCAGATAACACAGTGTTTCCTAATTTTAAAAAAGCACAGTATATTTGGTCTACAGCTGTTTTAAAGGGCTCATGTACTATTTTGGATTTACAGTGATGTCCATTCAGTAATGTTTGTGTGGTTTTATGTAACAAAACCAGCTATAATTTATTTTACTTGACAATTTTTTGCATCACTTTGTAAACAAGCTGTTTGAACACCCGTCTGCCGACAAAGTACATATTTTGCTGAAGTGAAAATTTCACAGGCTTTATTTATTTCCTGTATGTTAAATTCAACAAATAAATAGTAAATTGTGCATTAAGATGTAGAGGTGGGCGATACGGCAGAAATATTGCAATACTTTAAGAAATTTTCATGATACACGATGCGTCATATTTATCTTTCAGACGGAAGAACCAGCAGTGCTGCATTTTTAAAAAATGACATCAAAAACATTGATTTTTATTCAATATTTGGCACTAAATCTAAACTAATTTTGCTCTTTTTTAATGAAACAAACACTGGTCAGCACTGGCAAGTGCTGACGATATACGTGATGTGTTCAGAAATCATATTATATTGTATTGTCACATAATTTATCATGACAGAGATGTATATTGTCAAATTGCCCAGCCCTATTAGCTCTATTAGCCCTGCAGAAATTTGACCACATGCAAACTTTTGCATTTAATTGTATGTAAATAGGCTCTGTTCTGATAGGACAGCCAATCTTTCACCTCATTTGGAAAGCAGTTCGGCCTGAAACCCTCCTCATGACTTCAGTGTGAAGGGGCTAAACCGCTGTAGGCTGAATAGGTGGATATTTTGGTTTTTGTGACATCACAACAATGGTGGGCTGTTATTGCGGCTTAGTTTTCGCTTTGAAAGTTTTACAGTGTTTGCATACTACGGCAAACTCGTTTAACATGAAAGGGACCCTTTAAAACGTATATTTAGTGTATAAAACATGTAATCCTTCTATTTTATTTCATTACCACAATGCATTTACAGCTATTGTGGTCCATCGTTTTATGCAAGCAGTGTAAGACTTTATTCATGTGGTTCACTTTCTTAGCGTTTACAAGACGCTTTATTCCAGAAAATGTGAGCTGTTGAGAGATTTAACAGTTCAAAACAGCACAAATCATTTTCTATCGCATTAAAAAAGCTGAAAGATGATAAATATTGGCAACGAGATGCACAGCAACTCCCTGAGCTCTGAGTAGGTGGACAGATCTGCAGGTAAAACGCAGCTCGTTTTAACCATCCTGCTCTTTCTGTCTCCACTCCCGCGTCCTCTGTGGCGTTCCGCGGTGTCTCGTATCCATAGATAATTCATGTCCCGGGTGTGGTTTATGCATGTGTGCTGCGGTCTGGGCAAGCCGGGGTTAGTCTGAGCATGACGAGAAGCCTCTGCCAGTCACCCAGCTGTGCTCCTGTTGTTGGGTCACGGAGCTGAAATGCCTCCTCGGCCTTTTTTTTTTATGTGTTATTGAACCCGAGCTCTCCACGCCGCTGATATTTGTTCCTGTTCCTGTTTAAACAGAGGTCGGATTATCCTGCGCCGGCTTTGGGGGCATCACGTGAGCTTGTCTCTCTCTCCACGATGACTGCACTCCAATGTCAGCATGCAGGTCCTTGGCTCTGCGTAGGACAAAGTCTGCCCGTGTGATAAGAGAGGAATGCCTGCTCAGGCGTTCCTTGTCAGTGCAGACGTCAGGCCTCTGCCTGAAAAGGTCTTTTTTTTTATTCTGTCTCCTGGCTGTTTGCTCTCTGTGCTGTTCTGCTTTGATGGCTTCGTTGTTGTTTAGGTTGTGAGGCTTACCGGCTTCTCTTTACACGGCTGTGTGCCATTCCGCCTTTGGGCCAGTAAACACTGGAATGAAGGGTGTGGCTCAGACGCCAAAAGAGCCTCACCCATAGCGTGCAGTACTGCTAGCCGATATTGATCAAATTCAGTATTGCGATATCCACCTTAGGCCTGTGCCCCATGATGCTTTGAGTGACTTATGGACAGAAGTTCCTGTGAAGTGTAAACAGCGTTCAAAATAGCCTACTGCATACTGCTTTCGTACCGATTGGGCCCAAAAGTAGTAAGTAGTATGCAGTATGTGACCCACATGAATTTCCCCAATATGCCAGGATGACCTACTACTCTGGCCAAGTACTTCAGCGCACAGGCAGAGCAGTCATCATTATACAGGGTGTTTCTAAAAGATTCATCCCATTTCAAAATGATTTATTTCACTTGTAAATCATTACAGAACAATGCAGTAAACTGTAAATGGTTTAAATGAGCATAAAGTTTATTATGTAATTGTACAAGTGTTCAGTATGAACCTCCTCCAGCTGTACAGACAACATCAACGCCATAGTCAAATTTATCCCATACTCGATTGAGCGTGTCGGGTGTCACTGCACTCACGGCTCTTTCAATGCGTTTTTGGAGCTCATCCAGTGTTGTTGGGAGTGGCACATAAACAGAATCCTTAACGTCCCCCCACAAAAAAAGTCACAAGGCGTGAGTTCTGGTGATGCTGGTGACCGTTTTCTTGGAGCTGTTGGTACCAACGATGAATGCTCTGAGCTGTTGGGCGTTCACTGCTGTACTGACAGTCAGAAACTCTATGACCCCCTCTTTCAGTTGGATTGTGATTGGTTCCTAGGCGCCTCACGGTTGTGAAAATATGGCGCTTTTGAAAATTAATGAA